ATGCTGAAGCACCTATTCTGTACTGCCCAAATATATCTTCTACCACGGATGAGGGACGCAATTCATCATCTACTGTTCTGCTGAATTCAACTGCAACTAATGATAAGGATTTTCATCTCGATGTGAATTGCTCCCATTCATCCAAAGATATATTCCCGATAGGGGACACCACTGTGAACTGCTCGTCTACAGATGGTGCAGGAAACACTGGCACTTGTCTTCTCGTTGTCACAGTAACAGGTGTGAATTTGGCTATTCTTTATATCTAAAAGTTCTGTCACCGATCTAGCTTGGGATTTTGAGATATTTCAATTATTGTGAAAGATTAATCCTCATGACTTTGCATGTGTTCTAAAATTCATAATTTTAAGGAGTTTTTGCTTGATTTCATGTTTTGAATTATTCTGTATGAAAGAAATCCTGGTCATGAAACGAAATGTAACTAACAATTATTTTCTCAACTCTATGTCTGCTCCTTTTCATGATATCATCGCCTCTTAGTTGAAAAACATGATACAATTCTTGGAAATATGCATTAGTGTAATTAGTCAGAATTGTTGTTATATTGCAGATGACGAAGCACCTATTTTGAAGTGCCCAAATATATCTTCTACTACGGATGAGGGACTCCATTCATCATCTACTGTTCTGCTGAATTCTACTGCAACTGATAACGTGGATTTCGATCTAGTTGTGAATTGCTCCCATTCATCCGCAGATATATTCCTGATAGGGGACACCACTGTGAACTGCTCATCTACAGATGATGCAGGAAACACTGGCACTTGTCTTCTCTTTGTCAAAGTAACAACAGGTGTGAATATGAATATTTCTATATCTAAAGGTTCTGTCACCGATTGGGTCAAAGATTTTGGGATATTCAATGTCTTTTGATAGATGAATCGTCATGAATGTGTATGTGTTCTACTTTTCTTAACTTCGAGGAGTTTTTGCTTGGTTTAACATTTGGAAGCATGTGAACAAAATTGTGGTCATGAAATCAAATGTTACTTACTATTATTTTTTCGACTGGATATCTGTTCCTTTTCTCGATACCATCACCTTTAAGTTGACGAACATGATCGGTTCTTGAAAGTATGCATTGATGTAATTAGTCTGAATTTTATTTATGTGCAGATGCTGAAGCACCTATTCTGTACTGCCCAAATATATCTTCTACCACGGATGAGGGACGCAATTCATCATCTACTGTTCTGCTGAATTCAACTGCAACTAATGATAAGGATTTTCATCTCGATGTGAATTGCTCCCATTCATCCCAAGATACATACCCGATAGGGGACACCACTGTGAACTGCTCATCTACAGATGATGCAGGAAACACTGGCACTTGTCTTCTCGTTGTCACAGTAACAGGTGTGAATATGATTAATTCTAAATCTAAAAGGTTCTTTCACTGACCAGGCTTAGGATTTGGGTATATGTATTTGTTTTTGAATGATGAATCCTCATGAATATGTATTTATTCTACATTTTATTTTTCCGAGGAGTTTGTGCTTGATTTAACATTTTAAAAAATGTAAAATCCTGGTCATAAGAAAAAATGCATCTAACAATTAATTTCTTCACTCGATATCTTTTCTTTTTTCAAAATATTAAAGCCATAAAGTTGACGAATATGATACCATTCTTGTAAAATATATATTGATGTGATTTTCTGTTATATTGCAGATGATGAAGCACCTATTCTGAACTGCGCAAATATATCTTCTACTACGGATGAGGGACTCAACTCATCATCTACTGTTCTGCTTGAATCTACTGCAACTGATAATGTGGATTTTCATCTCAATGTGAATTGCTCCCATTCATTCAAAGATATATTCCCGATAGGGGACACCACTGTGAACTGCTCATCTACAGATGATGCAGGAAACACTGGCACTTGTCTTCTCGTTGTCACAGTAACAGGTGTGAATATGATTAATTCTAAATCTTAAAGTTCTGTCACTGACCGGGCTTAGGATTTGGGTATATGTATTTGTTTTTGAATGATGAATCCTCATGAATATGTATGTATTCTACATTTTATTTTTCCGAGGAGTTTTTGCTTGATTTAACATTTCAAAACATGTAAAAATCCTGGTCATTAGATAAAAGGCATCTAACAATTAATTTCTTCACTCGATATCTTTTCTTTTTCAAGATATTAAAGCCATGAAGTTGACAAATATGATACCATTCTTGTAAAATATATATTGATGTGATTTTCTGTTATATTGCAGATGATGAAGCACCTATTCTGAACTGCGCAAATATATCTTCTACTACGGATGAGGGACTCAACTCATCGTCTACTGTTCTGCTGGATTCTACTGCAACTGATAATGTGGATTTTCATCGCAATGTGAATTGCTCCCATTCATCCAAAGATATATTCCCGATAGGGGACACCACTGTGAACTGCTCATCTACAGATGATGCAGGAAACACTGGCACTTGTCTTCTCGTTGTCACAGTAACAGGTGTGAATGTGGCTATTCTTTATATCTAAAAGTTCTGTTATCGATCGGGCCAAAGATTTTGGGATATTTAATGTCTTTTGATAGATGAATCGTCATGAATGTGTATGTGTTCTTCCATTTTAACTTCGAGGAGTTTTTGCTTAATTTAACATTTGGAAGCATGTGAACAAAATTGTGGTCATAAATCAAATGTTACTTACTATTATTTTCTCGACTCGATATCTGTTCCTTTTCTCGATATCATCACCTTTAAGTTGACGAACATGATCGGTTCTTGAAAGTATGCATTGATGTTATTAGTCTGAATTTTATTTATGTGCAGATGCTGAAGCACCTATTTTGTACTGCCCAAATATATCTTCTACCACGGATGAGGGACGCAATTCATCATCTACTGTTCTGCTGAATTCAACTGCAACTAATGATAAGGATTTTCATCTCGATGTGAATTGCTCCCATTCATCCAAAGATATATTCCCGATAGGGGACACCACTGTGAACTGCTCGTCTACAGATGGTGCAGGAAACACTGGCACTTGTCTTCTCGTTGTCACAGTAACAGGTTTGAATCTGATTATTTTTTATATATAAAAGTTCTGTCACCGAACAAGCTTTTGATTTTTGGATATTTTTATTCTTCTCAAAGATAAATCGTAATGAATTAGAATGTGTTCTGAAATTCATAGTTTTTTGGAGTTTTTGCTTGATGTAACATTTAGAATCATGGAAAGACTACCTGTTCATGAATGAAATGTATCTAACATTCATTTTCTCGACTCTATATCTCTTCTTTATCAAGATATTATCACCTCAAAAGAGGCAAACATAATAGCATTCTCTTAACATATCTATTAAATGTAATTTTTCTGAATTTCGGTTATATTACAGATGATGAAGCACCTGTTCTCAACTGCCCAAATAAATCTTCTACTACGGATGAGGGACTCAATTCATCATCTACTGTAATGCTGGAAACAACTGCAACTGATAATGTGGAAAATCCTCTAGATGTGATTTGCTCCCATTTATCTGGGGATACATTCCTAATAGGGGACACCACTGTGAACTGCTCGTCTACAGATGGTGCAGGAAACACTGGCACTTGTCTTCTCGTTGTCACAGTAACAGGTTTGAATCTGATTATCCTTTATATCTAAAGGTTTTGTCACCGAACAAGTTTTTGATTTTTGGATATTTTTATTCTTCTGAAAGATAAATCATAATGGATTAGAATGTGTTCTGAAATTCATAGTTTTCTGGAGTTTTTGCTTGATGTAACATTTAGAATCATGGAAAGACTACCTGGTCATGAAATAAAAAGTATCTAACATTTATCTTTTCGACTCTATATCTCTTCTTTATTAAGATATTATCCCCCAAAAGAGGCAAACATAATAGCATTCTCTTAACATATCTATTAAATGTAATTTTTCTGAATTTCGGTTATATTACAGATGATGAAGAACCTGTTCTCAACTGCCCAAATATATCTTCTACTACGGATGAGGGACTCAATTCATCATCTACTGTAATGCTGGAAACAACTGCAACTGATAATGTGGAAAATCCTCTAGATGTGATTTGCTCCCATTTATCTGGGGATACATTCCTAATAGGGGACACCACTGTGAACTGCTCGACTACAGATGGTGCAGGAAACACTGGCACTTGTCTTCTCGTTGTCACAGTAACAGGTTCGAATCTGATTATTCTTTATATATAAAAGTTCTGTCACCGAACAAGCTTTTGATTTTTGGATACTTTTATTCTTCTGAAAGATAAATCGTAATGGATTAGAATGTGTTCTGAAATTCATAGTTTTCTGGAGTTTTTGCTTGATGTAACATTTAGAATCATGGAAAGACTACCTGTTCATCAATGAAATGTATCTAACATTTATTTTCTCGACTCTATATCTCTTCTTTACCAAGATATTATCACCTCAAAAGAGGCAAACATAATAGCATTCTCTTAACATATCTGTTGAAGTCATTCTTCTGAATTTCGGTTATATTACGGATGATGAAGCACCTGTTCTGAACTGCCCAAATATATCAGACAAAGCTAATTGTTTTGAAAGCCTCGAAGTGCATCAAATATGAAGGTTATGAAGATTGTCAAAGAAATATTGTAATTTGATGATATTTTTTTACTTTTTCAGAAATTACATCAACTGCTCCATCAACAACAAGTATCACTACCAATGGTCTGACTACTGAGGAGGAGAGAACTGAATCAGGAACAACTGAGGGATTCACCTCAGATATGACATCTACTGCTCTACCAACATCAGATATCATTACCAATGGTCTGACTACTGAGGAGGAGACAACTGAATCAGGAACAACTGAAGAATTCACCTCAGATGTTACATCAACTCTGCCGTCAACATCAGATATCACTACTAATGGTCTGACTACCGTGGAGGAGACAACTGTATTAGGAACAACTGAGGAATTTACTTCAGATGTTACATCAACTGCTCCCTTAACAACAGATATCACCACAATTGGTATGTCTACCAAGGAGGAGACAACTGAATCAAGAAGTACTGAGGGATTCACCTCAGATGTTACATCTACAGCTCTACCCACATCAGATATCACAACGAATGGTCTGACTACGGAGGAGGAGACAACTGAATCAAGAACTAGTGAGGGATTCACTTCAGACATTACTTCAACTGGGCCGTCAACATCAGATATAACTACCAATGGTCTGACTACCGAGGAGGAGACAACTGAATCAGGAAAAACAGAAGGATTCACTTCAGACATTACTTCAACTGCTCCCTTAACAACAAATATCACCACCATTGGTATGTCTACCGAGGAGGAGACAACTGAATCAAGAACTACTGAGGGATTCACTTCAGACATTACTTCAACTGGGCCTTCAACACCAGATATCACTACCAATGGTATGACTACCGAGGAGGAGACAACTGAATCAGGAACAACAGAAGGATTCACTTCAGACATTACTTCAACTGCTCCCTTAACAACAAATATCACCACCATTGGTATGTCTACCGAGGAGGAGACAACTGAATCAAGAACTACTGAGGGATTCACTTCAGACATTACTTCAACTGGGCCTTCAACACCAGATATCACTACTAATGGTCTGACTACCGAAGAGGAGACAACTGAATCAGGAACAACAGAAGGATTCACTTCAGACAAAACTTCAACTGGGCCGTCATTATTAGATATCACTACCAATGGTATGACTACCGAGGAGGAGACAACTGAATCGGGAACAACAGAAGAATTCACCTCAGATGTTACATCAACTCTGCCGTCAACATCAGATATCACTACTAATGGTCTGATTACAGAGGAGAAGACAACTGAATTAGGAACAACTGAGGGATTCACCTCAGATATAACATCTACTGCTCTACCAACATCAGATATCACAACCAATGGTCTATCTACTGAGGAGGGGACAACTGAATTGGGAACAACAGAAGAATTTACTTCAGATGTTACATCAACTGCTCCCTTAACAACAGATATCACCACCATTGGTATGACATCTACCGCTCTACCAACATCAGATATCACAACAAATGGTATGACTACGGATGAGGAGACAACTGAATCGGGAACAACAGAAGAATTCACCTCAGATGTTACATCAACTGCTTCCTTAACAACAGATATCACCACCAATGGTCTGACTACTGAGGAGGAGACAACTGAAATAGGAACAACTGAGGGATTCACTTCAGACATTACTTCGATTGGGCCGTCTACATCAGACATCACCACCAATGGTCTGACTACGGAGGAGGAGACAACTGAATCAGGAACAACAGAAGGATTCACTTCAGACATTACTTCAACTGGGCGGTCAACATCAGATATCACTACCAATAGTATGACTACAGAGGAGGAGACAGCTGAATCAGGAACAACAGAAGGAATCACTTCAGACATTACTTCAACTGGGCCGTCTACATCAGACATCACCACCGATGGTCTGACTACGGAGGAGAAGACAACTGAATCAGGAACAACAGAAGGATTCACTTCAGACATTACTTCAACTGGGCCGTCAACGTCAGATATCACTACCAATGGTATGACTACAGAGGAGGAGACAACTGAATCAGGAACAACAGAAGGAATCACTTCAGACATTACTTCAACTGCTTCCTTAACAACAAATATCACCACCATTGGTATGTCTACCGAGGAGGTCACAACTGAATCAAGAACTACTTTTGGATTCACTTCAGACGTTACTTCAACTGGGCCTTCAACATCAGATATCACCACCGATGGTCTGACTACCGAGGAGGAGACAACTGAGGGATTAACCTCAGATATGACATCTACCGCTCTACTAACATCAGATATCACAACAAATGGTATGACTACGGAAGAGGAGACAACTGAATTAGGAACAACTGAGGAATATACTTCAGATGCAACATCAACTGCTTCCTTTACAACAGATATCACCACCAATGGTCTGACTACTGAGGAGGAGACAACTGAAATAGGAACAACTGAGGGATTCACTTTAGACATTACTTCAACTGGGCCGTCTACATCAGACATCACCACCGATGGTCTGACTACGGAGGAGAAGACAACTGAATCAGGAACAACAGAAGGATTCACTTCAAACATTACTTCAACTGCTTCCTTAACAACAAATATCACTACAATTGGTATGTCTACCAAGGAGGAGACAACTGAATCAAGAACTACTGAGGGATTGACTTCAGACATTACTTCAACTGGGCCGTCAACATCAGATATCACCACCAATGGTCTATCTACTGCGGAGGAGACAACTGAATCGGGAACAATAGAAGAATTCACCTCAGATGTTACATCAACTCTGTCGTCAACATCAGATATCACTACTAATGGTCTTACTACCGAGGAGGAGACGACTGAGGGATTAACCTCAGATATGACATCTACCGCTCTACCAACATCAGCTATCATAACCAATGGTATGACTACGGAGGAGGAGACAACTGAATCGGGAACAACAGAGGAATTCACCTCAGATGTTACATCAACTGCTCCCTTAACAACAGATATCACCACCAATGGTATGACAACCGAAGAGAAGACAACTAAATCAGGAACAACTGAAGAATTTACCTCATTTGTTACATCAACTCAGCCGTCAACATCAGATATCACTACTAATAGTCTAACTACCGAGGAGGAGACAACTGAGGGATTCACCTCAGATATGACATCTACCGCTCTACCAACATCAGATATCACAACCAATGGTATGACTACTGAGGAGGAGACAACTGAATTAGCAACAACTGAGGGATTAACCTCAGATGTGACATCAACTGCTCCCTTAACAACAGATATCACCACCAATGGTATGACTACCGAAGAGGAGACAACTGAATCAGGAACAACTGAAGAATTCACCTCATTTGTTACATCAACTCAGCCGTCAACATCAGATATTACTACTAATGGTCTGACTACCGAGGAGGAGACAACTGAATTAGGAACAACTGAGGAATTTACTTCAGATGTAACATCAACTGCTCCCTTAACAACAGATATCACCACCATTGGTATGTCTACCGAGGAGGAGACAACTGAATCCAGAACTACTTTTGGATTCACTTCAGACGTAACTTCAACTGGGCCTTCAACATCAGATATCACCACCGATGGTCTGACTACCGAGGAGAAAACTGAGGGATTAACCTCAGATATGACATCTACCGCTCTACCAACATCAGATATGACAACAAATGGTATGACTACGGAAGAGGAGACAACTGAATTAGGAACAACTGAGGAATATACTTCAGATGTTACATCAACTGCTCCCTTAACAACAGATATCACCACCAATGGTATGACTACCGTAAAGAAGACAACTGAATCAGGAACAACTAAAGAATTCACCTCAGATGTTACATCAACTCTGTCGTCAACATCAGATATCACTACTAATGGTCTGACTACCGAGGAGGAGACGACTGAGGAATTAACCTCAGATATGACATCTACCGCTCTAGCAACATCAGATATCATAACCAATGGTATGTCTACGGAGGAGGAGACAACTGAATTAGGAACAACTAAAGAATATACTTCAGATGTTACATCAACTGCTTCCTTAACAACAGATATCACCACCAATGGTCTGACTACGGAGGAGGAGACAACTGAATCAGGAACAACAGAAGGATTCACTTCAGACATTACTTCAACTGGGCCGTCAACATCAGATATCACTACCAATGGTATGACTACAGAGGAGGAGACAACTGAATCAGGAACAACAGCAGGATTCACTTCAGACATTACTTCAACTTCTCCCTTAACAACAAATATCACCATTATTGGTATGTCTACCGAGGAGGAGACAACTGAATCAAGAACTACTGAGGGATTCACTTCAGACATTACTTCAACTGGGACTTCAACAACAGATATCACTACCAATGTTATGACTACAGAGGAGGAGACAACTGAATCGCCAACAACAGAAGAATTCACCTCATATGTTACATCTACTGTTCTACTAACCTCAGATATCACAACCAATGGTCTATCTACTGAGGAGGAGACAACTGAATCGGGAACAACGGAAGAATTCACCTCAGATGTTACATCAACTCTGCCGTCAACATTAGATATCACTTCTAATAGTCTAACTACCGAGGAGGAGACAACTGAGGGATTCACCTCAGATATGACATCTACCGCTCTACCAACATCAGATATCACAACCAATGGTATGACTACTGAGGAGGAGACAACTGAATTAGCAACAACTGAGGGATTAACCTCAGATGTGACATCAACTGCTCCCTTAACAACATATATCACCACCAATGGTATGACTACCGAAGAGGAGACAACTGAATCAGGAACAACTGAAGAATTCACCTCATTTGTTACATCAACTCAGCCGTCAGCATCAGATATGACCACCTATGGTCTGACTACCGAGGAGGAGACAAATGAGGGATTAACCTCAGATATGACGTCTACCGTTCTACCAACATCAGAAATCACAACAAATGGTATGACTACGGAAGAGGAGACAACTGAATTAGGAACAACTGAAGAATATACTTCAGATGTTACATCAACTGCTTCCTTAACAACAGATATCACCACCAATGGTCTGACTACTGAGGAGGAGACAACTGAATTAGGAACAACTGAGGGATTCACTTCAGACATTACTTCGATTGGGCCGTCTACATCAGACATCACCACCAATGGTCTGACTACGGAGGAGGAGACAACTGAATCAGGAACAACAGAAGGATTCACTTCAGACATTACTTCAACTGGGCCGTCAACATCAGATATCACTACTAATGGTCTGACTACCGAGGAGGAGACGACTGAGGGATTAACCTCAGATATGACATCTACCGCTCTACCAACATCAGATATCACAACAAAAGGTATGACTACGGAAGAGGAGACAACTGAATTAGGAACAACTGAAGAATATACTTCAGATGTTACATCAACTGCTTCCTTAACAACAGATATCACCACCAATGGTCTGACTACTGAGGAGGAGACAACTGAATTAGGAACAACTGAGAAATTCACTTCAGACATTACTTCGATTGGGCCGTCTACATCAGACATCACCACCAATGGTCCGTCTACCGAGGAGGAGACAACTGAATCAGAAACAACAGAAAGATTCACTTCAGACATTACTTCAACTGGGCCTTCAACATCAGATATCACTACTAATGCTATGACTACAGAGGAGGAGACAACTGAATCGCCAACAACAGAAGAATTCACCTCAGATGTTACATCTACTGTTCTACTAACCTCAGATATCACAACCAATGGTCTATCTACTGAGAAGGAGACAACTGAATCGGGAACAACAGAAGAATTCACCTCAGATGTAACGTCAACTCTGCCGTCAACATCAGATATCACTACTAATAGTCTAACTACCGAGGAGGAGACAACTGAGGGATTAGCCTCAGATATGACATCTACCGCTCTACCAACATCAGATATCATAACCAATGGTATGACTACGGAGGAGGAGACAACTGAATTAGCAACAACTGAGGGATTAACCTCAGATGTGACATCAACTGCTCCCTTAACTTCAGATATCACCACCAATGGTATGACTACCGAAGAGGAGAGAACTGAATCAGGAACAACTGAAGAATTAACCTCAGATGTTACATCAACTCAGCCGTCAACATCAGATATCACTACTAATGGTCTGACTACCGAGGAGGAGACAACTGAGGCATTAACTTCAGATATGACATCTCCCGCTCTACCAACATCAGATATCATAACCAATGGTATGACTACCGAGGAGGAGACAACTGAATCAGGAACAACAGAAGGATTCACTTCAGACGTTACTTCAACCGCTCCCTTAACAACAAATATCACCACCATTGGTATGTCTACCGAGGAGGAGACAACTGAATTAGGAACAACTGAGGAATTTACTTCAGATGTAACATCAACTGCGCCCTTAAAAACAGAGATCACCACCATTAGTATGTCTACCGAGGAGGAGACAACTGAATCAAGAACTACTGAGGGATTCACTTCAGACATTACTTTAACTGGGCCTTCAACATCAGATATCACCACAGATGGTCTGACTACCGAGGAGGAGACAACTAAGGCATTAACCTCAGATATGACATCTACCGCTTTACCAACATCAGATATCACAACAAATGGTATGACTACGGAAGAGGAGACAACTGAATTAGGAACAACTGAGGAATATACTTCAGATGTTACATCAACTGCTTTCTTAAGAACAGATATCTCCACCAATGGTCTGACTACTGAGCAAGAGACAACTGAATCAAGAACTACTGAGGGATTCACTTCAGACATTACTTCAACTGGGCCTTCAACATCAAATATCACTACTAATGGTCCGACTACCGAGGAGGAGACAACTGAATTAGGAACAACTGATGGATTCACCTCAGATATGACATCTACTGCTCTACCAACAACAGATATCACAACCAATGGTCTATCTACTGAGGAGGAGACAACTGAATTGGGAACAACAGAAGAATTCACCTCGGATGTTACATCTACTGTTCTACTAACCTCAGATATCACAACCAATGGTCTATCTACTGAGGAGGAGACAACTGAATCGGGAACAACAGAAGAATTCACCTTAGATGTTACATCAACTCTGCCGTCAACATCAGATATCACTACTAATGGTCTGACTACCAAGGAGGAGACAACTGAGGGATTAACCTCAGATATGACATCTACCGCTCTACCAACATCAGATATCACAACCAATGGTATGACTACAGAGGGGGAGACAACCGAATTAGCAACAACTGAGGGATTAACCTCAGATGTGACATCAACTGCTCCCTTAACAACAGATATCACCACCAATGGTATGACTACCGAAGAGGAGACAACTGAATCAGGAACAACTGAAGAATTAACCTCAGATGTTACTTCAACTCTGCCGTCAACATCAGATATCACTACCAATGGTCTGACTACCGAGGAGGAGACAACTGAATTAGAAACTACTGAGGGATTCACTTCAGATGTTACATCAACTGCTCCCTTAACAAAAGATATTACGACCAATGGTATTACTACCGAAGAGGAAACAACTGAATCAGGAACAACTGAGGGATTCACCTCAGATATGACATCTACTGCTCTACCAACATCAGATATCACAACCAACGGTCTATCTACTGAGGAGAAGACAACTAAGGGATTAACCTCAGATATGACATCTACCGCTCTACAAACATCAGATACCACAACAAATGGTATGACTACGGAGGAGACAACTGATTTAGGAACAACTGAGGAATTTGCTCCCTTAACAACAGATATCACGACCATTGGTATGTCTACCGAGGAGGAGACAACTGCATCAAGAACTACTGAGGGATTCACTTCAGACATTACTTCAACTGAGCCTCCAACATCAGATATCACCACCGATGGTCTGACTACCGAGGAGGAGACAACTGAGGGATTAACCTCAGATATAACATCTACCGCTCTACCAACATCAGATACTACAACAAATGGTATGACTACGGAGGAGACAACTGATTTAGGAACAACTGAGGAATTTACTCCCTTAACAACAGATATCACCATCATTGGTATGTCTACCAAGGAGGAAACAACTGAATCAAGAACTACTGAGGGTTTAACTTCAGATATTACTTCAACTGGGCCTTCGACATCAGATATCACCACCAATGGTCTATCTACTAAGGAGGAGACAACTGAATCGGGAACAACAGAAGAATTCACCTCAAACGTTACATCAATTCTGCCGTCAACATCAGATATCACTACCAATGGAATGAATACGGAGGAGGAGACAACTGTATTAGGAACAACTGAGGAATTTACTTCAGATGTTACATCAACTGCTCCCTTAACAACAGATATCACCACCATTGATAAGTCTACCAAGGAGGAGACAACTGAATCAAGAACTACTGAGGGATTCACTTCAGACATTACTTCGACTGGGGCTTCAACATCAGATATCACCACCGATGGTCTGACTACCGAGGAGGAGACAACTGAGGGATTAACCTCAGATATGACATCTACCGCTCTACCAACATCAGATATCACAACAAATGGTATGACTACGGAGGAGGAGACAACTGAATTAGGAACAACTGAGGGATTTACTTCAGACGTTACATCAGCTGCTCCCTTAACAACAGATATCACTACCATTGGTATGTCTACCAAGGAGGAGACAACTGAATCAAGAACTACTGAGGGATTCACTTCAGACATTTTTTCAACTGGGCCTTCAACATCAGATATCACCACCAATGGTCTATCTACTAAGGAGGAGAAAACTGAATCGGGAACAACAGAAGAATTCACCTCAGATGTTTCATCAACTCTGTCATCAACATCAGATATCACTACTAATGGTCTGACTACCGAGGAGGAGACGACTGAGGGATTTACCTCAGATATGACATCTACTGCTCTACCAACATCAGATATCATAACCAATGATATGACTATGGAGGAGGAGACAACTGAATTAGGAACAACTGAGGAATTTACTTCAGATGTAAAATCAACTGCTCCCTTAACAACAGATATCACCACCATTGGTATGTCTACCGAGGAGGAGACAACTGAATCAAGAACTACTGAGGGATTCACTTCAGACATTACTTCAACTGGGCCTTCAACATCAGATATCACCACCGATGGTCTGACTACCGAGGAGGAGACAACTGAGGGATTAACCTCAGATATGACATCTACCGCTCTACCAACATCAGATACTACAACAAATGGTATGACTACGGAGGAGACAACTGATTTAGGAACAACTGAGGAATTTACTCCCTTAACAACAGATATCACCACCATTGGTATGTCTACCGAGGAGGAGACAACTGAATCAAGAACTACTGAGGGATTCACTTCAGACATTATTTCAACTGGGCCTTCGACATCAGATATCACCACCAATGGTCTATCTACTAAGGAGGAGAAAACTGAATTGGGAACAACAGAAGAATTCACCTCAGATGTTACATCAATTCTGTCGTCAACATCAGATATCACTACTAATGGTCTGACTACCGAGGAGGAGACGACTGAGGGATTAACCTCAGATATGACATCTACCGCTCTACCAACATCAGATATCATAACCAATGGTATGACTACGGAGGAGGAGACAACTGAATTAAAAACAACTGAGGAATTTACTTCAGATGTAACATCAACTGCTCCCTTAACCACAGATATCACCATCATTGGTATGTCTACCAAGGAGGAAACAACTGAATCAAGAACTACTGAGGGTTTAACTTCAGATATTACTTCAACTGGGCCTTCGACATCAGATATCACTACTAATGGTCTTACTACCGAGGAGGAGACAACTGAGGCATTAACTTCAGATATGACATCTACCGCTCTACCAACATCAGATATCATAACCAATGGTATGACTACCGAGGAGGAGACAACTGAATCAGGAACAACAGAAGGATTCACTTCAGACGTTACTTCAACCGCTCCCTTAACAACAAATATCACCACCATTGGTATGTCTACCGAGGAGGAGACAACTGAATTAGGAACAACTGAGGAATTTACTTCAGATGTAACATCAACTGCGCCCTTAACAACAGAGATCACCACCATTAGTATGTCTACCGAGGAGGAGACAACTGAATCAAGAACTACTGAGGGATTCACTTCAGACATTACTTTAACTGGGCCTTCAACATCAGATATCACCACAGATGGTCTGACTACCGAGGAGGAGACAACTAAGGCATTAACCTCAGATATGACATCTACCGCTTTACCAACATCAGATATCACAACAAATGGTATGACTACGGAAGAGGAGACAACTGAATTAGGAACAACTGAGGAATATACTTCAGATGTTACATCAACTGCTTTCTTAAGAACAGATATCTCCACCAATGGTCTGACTACTGAGCAGGAGACAACTGAATCAAGAACTACTGAGGGATTCACTTCAGACATTACTTCAACTGGGCCTTCAACATCAAATATCACTACTAATGGTCCGACTACCGAGGAGGAGACAACTGAATTAGGAACAACTGATGGATTCACCTCAGATATGACATCTACTGCTCTACCAACAACAGATATCACAACCAATGGTCTATCTACTGAGGAGGAGACAACTGAATTGGGAACAACAGAAGAATTCACCTCGGATGTTACATCTACTGTTCTACTAACCTCAGATATCACAACCAATGGTCTATCTACTGAGGAGGAGACAACTGAATCGGGAACAACAGAAGAATTCACCTCAGATGTTACATCAACTCTGCCGTCAACATCAGATATCACTACTAATGGTCTGACTACCAAGGAGGAGACAACTGAGGGATTAACCTCAGATATGACATCTACCGCTCTACCAACATCAGATATCACAACCAATGGTATAACTACAGAGGGGGAGACAACCGAATTAGCAACAACTGAGGGATTAACCTCAGATGTGACATCAACTGCTCCCTTAACAACAGATATCACCACCAATGGTATGACTACCGAAGAGGAGACAACTGAATCAGGAACAACTGAAGAATTAACCTCAGATGTTACATCAACTCTGCCGTCAACATCAGATATCACTACTAATGGTCTGACTACCGAGGAGGAGACAACTGAATTAGAAACTACTGAGGGATTCACTTCAGATGTTACATCAACTGCTCCCTTAACAAAAGATATTACGACCAATGGTATTACTACCGAAGAGGAAACAACTGAATCAGGAACAACTGAGGGATTCACCTCAGATATGACATCTACTGCTCTACCAACATCAGATATCACAACCAACGGTCTATCTACTGAGGAGAAGACAACTAAGGGATTAACCTCAGATATGACATCTACCGCTCTACAAACATCAGATACCACAACAAATGGTATGACTACGGAGGAGACAACTGATTTAGGAACAACTGAGGAATTTGCTCCCTTAACAACAGATATCACGACCATTGGTATGTCTACCGAGGAGGAGACAACTGCATCAAGAACTACTGAGGGATTCACTTCAGACATTACTTCAACTGAGCCTCCAACATCAGATATCACCACCGATGGTCTGACTACCGAGGAGGAGACAACTGAGGGATTAACCTCAGATATGACATCTACCGCTCTACCAACATCAGATACTACAACAAATGGTATGACTACGGAGGAGACAACTGATTTAGGAACAACTGAGGAATTTACTCCCTTAACAACAGATATCACCATCATTGGTATGTCTACCAAGGAGGAAACAACTGAATCAAGAACTACTGAGGGTTTAACTTCAGATATTACTTCAACTGGGCCTTCGACATCAGATATCACCACCAATGGTCTATCTACTAAGGAGGAGACAACTGAATCGAGAACAACAGAAGAATTCACCTCAAACGTTACATCAATTCTGCCGTCAACATCAGATATCACTACCAATGGAATGAATACGGAGGAGGAGACAACTGTATTAGGAACAACTGAGGAATTTACTTCAGATGTTACATCAACTGCTCCCTTAACAACAGATATCACCACCATTGATAAGTCTACCAAGGAGGAGACAACTGAATCAAGAACTACTGAGGGATTCACTTCAGACATTACTTCGACTGGGGCTTCAACATCAGATATCACCACCGATGGTCTGACTACCGAGGAGGAGACAACTGAGGGATTAACCTCAGATATGACATCTACCGCTCTACCAACATCAGATATCACAACAAATGGTATGACTACGGAGGAGGAGACAACTGAATTAGGAACAACTGAGGGATTTACCTCAGATGTGACATCAACTGCTCCCTTAACAACAAATATCACTACCATTGGTATGTCTACCAAGGAGGAGACAACTGAATCAAGAACTACTGAGGGATTCACTTCAGACATTTTTTCAACTGGGCCTTCAACATCAGATATCACCACCAATGGTCTATCTACTAAGGAGGAGAAAACTGAATCGGGAACAACAGAAGAATTCACCTCAGATGTTTCATCAACTCTGTCATCAACATCAGATATCACTACTAATGGTCTGACTACCGAGGAGGAGACGACTGAGGGATTTACCTCAGATATGACATCTACTGCTCTACCAACATCAGATATCATAACCAATGATATGACTATGGAGGAGGAGACAACTGAATTAGGAACAACTGAGGAATTTACTTCAGATGTAAAATCAACTGCTCCCTTAACAACAGATATCACCACCATTGGTATGTCTACCGAGGAGGAGACAACTGAATCAAGAACTACTGAGGGATTCACTTCAGACATTACTTCAACTGGGCCTTCAACATCAGATATCACCACCGATGGTCTGACTACCGAGGAGGAGACAACTGAGGGATTAACCTCAGATATGACATCTACCGCTCTACCAACATCAGATACTACAACAAATGGTATGACTACGGAGGAAACAACTGATTTAGGAACAACTGAGGAATTTACTCCCTTAACAACAGATATCACCACCATTGGTATGTCTACCAAGGAGGAAACAACTGAATCAAGAACTACTGAGGGATTCACTTCAGACATTATTTCAACTGGGCCTTCGACATCAGATATCACCACCAATGGTCTATCTACTAAGGAGGAGAAAACTGAATCGGGAACAACAGAAGAATTCACCTCAGATGTTACATCAACTCTGTCGTCAACATCAGATATCACTACTAATGGTCTGACTACCGAGGAGGAGACGACTGAGGGATTAACCTCAGATATGACATCTACCGCTCTACCAACATCAGATATCATAACCAATGGTATGACTACGGAGGAGGAGACAACTGAATTAAAAACAACTGAGGAATTTACTTCAGATGTAACATCAACTGCTCCCTTAACCACAGATATCACCATCATTGGTATGTCTACCAAGGAGGAAACAACTGAATCAAGAACTACTGAGGGTTTAACTTCAGATATTACTTCAACTGGGCCTTCGACATCAGATATCACCACCAATGGTCTATCTACTAAGGAGGAGACAACTGAATCGGGAACAACAGAAGAATTCACCTCAAATGTTACATCAATTCTGCCGTCAACATCAGATATCACTACCATTGATATGTCTACCAAGGAGGAGACAACTGAATCAAGAACTACTGAGGGATTCACTTCAGACATTACTTCAACTGGGGCTTCAACATCAGATATCACCACCGATGGTCTGACTACCGAGGAGGGGACAACTGAGGGATTAACTTCAGATATGACATCTACCGCTCTACCAACATCAGATATCACAACAAATGGTATGACTACGGAGGAGGAGACAACTGAATTAAGAACAACTGAGGAATTTACTTCAGATGTAACATCAACTGCTCCCTTAACCACAGATATCACCATCATTGGTATGTCTACCAGGGAGGAAACAACTGAATCAAGAACTACTGAGGGTTTCACTTCAGATATTACTTCAACTGGGCCTTCGACATCAGATATCACCACCAATGGTCTATCTACTAAGGAGGAGACAACTGAATCGGGAACAACAGAAGAATTCACCTCAAATGTTACATCCATTCTGCCGTCAACATCAGATATCACTACCATTGATATGTCTACCAAGGAGGAGACAACTGAATCAAGAACTACTGAGGGATTCACTTCAGACATTACTTCAACTGGGGCTTCAACATCAGATATCACCACCGATGGTCTGACTACCGAGGAGGAGACAACTGAGGGATTAACTTCAGATATGACATCTACCGCTCTACCAACATCAGATATCACAACAAATGGTATGACTACGGAGGAGGAGACAACTGAATTAGGAACAACTGAGGAATTTACTTCAGATGTTACATCAGCTGCTCCTTTAACAACAGATATCACCACCATTGGTATGTCTACCAAGGAGGAGACAACTGAATCAAGAACTACTGAGGGATTCACTTCAGACATTACTTCAACTGGGCCTTCAACATCAGATATCACTACCAATGGTATGACTACAGAGGAGGAGACAACTGAATCGGGAACAACAGAAGAATTCACCTCAGATGTTACATCAACTCTGTCGTCAACATCAGATATCACTACTAATGGTCTGACTACCGAGGAGGAGACGACTGAGGGATTAACTTCAGATATGACATCTACTGCTCTACGAACATCAGATATCATAACCAATGGTATGACTACGGAGGAGGAGACAACTGAATTAGGAACAACTGAGGAATTTACTTCAGATGTAACATCAACTGCTCCCTTAACAACAGATATCACCACCATTGGTATGTCTACCGAGGAGGAGACAACTGAATCAGGAACAACTGAAGGATTCACTTCAGACATTACTTCGATTGGGCCGTCTACATCAGACATCACCACCAATGGTCTGACTACGGAGGAGACAACTGAATCAGGAACAACAGAAGGATTCACCTCAGATGTTATATCTACTCTGCCGTCAACATCAGATATCACTACCAATGGTATGACTACCGAGGAGAAGACAACTCAATCAAGGATAACAGAAGGATTCACTTCAGACATTACTTCAACTGCTCCCTTTACAAATATCACCACCATTGGTATGTCTACCGAGGAGGAGACAACTGAATCAAGAACTACTGAGGGATTCACTTCAGACATTACTTCAACTTGGCCTTCAACATCAGATATCACCACCTATGGTCTGACTACCGAGGAGGAGACAACTGAGGGATTAACCTCAGATATGACATCTACCGCTCTACCAACATCAGATATCACCACCAATGGTCTATCTACTAAGGAGGAGACAACTGAATCGAGAACAACAGAAGAATTCACCTCAAACGTTACATCAATTCTGCCGTCAACATCAGATATCACTACCAATGGAATGAATACGGAGGAGGAGACAACTGTATTAGGAACAACTGAGGAATTTACTTCAGATGTTACATCAACTGCTCCCTTAACAACAGATATCACCACCATTGATAAGTCTACCAAGGAGGAGACAACTGAATCAAGAACTACTGAGGGATTCACTTCAGACATTACTTCGACTGGGGCTTCAACATCAGATATCACCACCGATGGTCTGACTACCGAGGAGGAGACAACTGAGGGATTAACCTCAGATATGACATCTACCGCTCTACCAACATCAGATATCACAACAAATGGTATGACTACGGAGGAGGAGACAACTGAATTAGGAACAACTGAGGGATTTACCTCAGATGTGACATCAACTGCTCCCTTAACAACAAATATCACTACCATTGGTATGTCTACCAAGGAGGAGACAACTGAATCAAGAACTACTGAGGGATTCACTTCAGACATTTTTTCAACTGGGCCTTCAACATCAGATATCACCACCAATGGTCTATCTACTAAGGAGGAGAAAACTGAATCGGGAACAACAGAAGAATTCACCTCAGATGTTTCATCAACTCTGTCATCAACATCAGATATCACTACTAATGGTCTGACTACCGAGGAGGAGACGACTGAGGGATTTACCTCAGATATGACATCTACTGCTCTACCAACATCAGATATCATAACCAATGATATGACTATGGAGGAGGAGACAACTGAATTAGGAACAACTGAGGAATTTACTTCAGATGTAAAATCAACTGCTCCCTTAACAACAGATATCACCACCATTGGTATGTCTACCGAGGAGGAGACAACTGAATCAAGAACTACTGAGGGATTCACTTCAGACATTACTTCAACTGGGCCTTCAACATCAGATATCACCACCGATGGTCTGACTACCGAGGAGGAGACAACTGAGGGATTAACCTCAGATATGACATCTACCGCTCTACCAACATCAGATACTACAACAAATGGTATGACTACGGAGGAAACAACTGATTTAGGAACAACTGAGGAATTTACTCCCTTAACAACAGATATCACCACCATTGGTATGTCTACCAAGGAGGAAACAACTGAATCAAGAACTACTGAGGGATTCACTTCAGACATTATTTCAACTGGGCCTTCGACATCAGATATCACCACCAATGGTCTATCTACTAAGGAGGAGAAAACTGAATCGGGAACAACAGAAGAATTCACCTCAGATGTTACATCAACTCTGTCGTCAACATCAGATATCACTACTAATGGTCTGACTACCGAGGAGGAGACGACTGAGGGATTAACCTCAGATATGACATCTACCGCTCTACCAACATCAGATATCATAACCAATGGTATGACTACGGAGGAGGAGACAACTGAATTAAAAACAACTGAGGAATTTACTTCAGATGTAACATCAACTGCTCCCTTAACCACAGATATCACCATCATTGGTATGTCTACCAAGGAGGAAACAACTGAATCAAGAACTACTGAGGGTTTAACTTCAGATATTACTTCAACTGGGCCTTCGACATCAGATATCACCACCAATGGTCTATCTACTAAGGAGGAGACAACTGAATCGGGAACAACAGAAGAATTCACCTCAAATGTTACATCAATTCTGCCGTCAACATCAGATATCACTACCATTGATATGTCTACCAAGGAGGAGACAACTGAATCAAGAACTACTGAGGGATTCACTTCAGACATTACTTCAACTGGGGCTTCAACATCAGATATCACCACCGATGGTCTGACTACCGAGGAGGGGACAACTGAGGGATTAACTTCAGATATGACATCTACCGCTCTACCAACATCAGATATCACAACAAATGGTATGACTACGGAGGAGGAGACAACTGAATTAAGAACAACTGAGGAATTTACTTCAGATGTAACATCAACTGCTCCCTTAACCACAGATATCACCATCATTGGTATGTCTACCAGGGAGGAAACAACTGAATCAAGAACTACTGAGGGTTTCACTTCAGATATTACTTCAACTGGGCCTTCGACATCAGATATCACCACCAATGGTCTATCTACTAAGGAGGAGACAACTGAATCGGGAACAACAGAAGAATTCACCTCAAATGTTACATCCATTCTGCCGTCAACATCAGATATCACTACCATTGATATGTCTACCAAGGAGGAGACAACTGAATCAAGAACTACTGAGGGATTCACTTCAGACATTACTTCAACTGGGGCTTCAACATCAGATATCACCACCGATGGTCTGACTACCGAGGAGGAGACAACTGAGGGATTAACTTCAGATATGACATCTACCGCTCTACCAACATCAGATATCACAACAAATGGTATGACTACGGAGGAGGAGACAACTGAATTAGGAACAACTGAGGAATTTACTTCAGATGTTACATCAGCTGCTCCTTTAACAACAGATATCACCACCATTGGTATGTCTACCAAGGAGGAGACAACTGAATCAAGAACTACTGAGGGATTCACTTCAGACATTACTTCAACTGGGCCTTCAACATCAGATATCACTACCAATGGTATGACTACAGAGGAGGAGACAACTGAATCGGGAACAACAGAAGAATTCACCTCAGATGTTACATCAACTCTGTCGTCAACATCAGATATCACTACTAATGGTCTGACTACCGAGGAGGAGACGACTGAGGGATTAACTTCAGATATGACATCTACTGCTCTACGAACATCAGATATCATAACCAATGGTATGACTACGGAGGAGGAGACAACTGAATTAGGAACAACTGAGGAATTTACTTCAGATGTAACATCAACTGCTCCCTTAACAACAGATATCACCACCATTGGTATGTCTACCGAGGAGGAGACAACTGAATCAGGAACAACTGAAGGATTCACTTCAGACATTACTTCGATTGGGCCGTCTACATCAGACATCACCACCAATGGTCTGACTACGGAGGAGACAACTGAATCAGGAACAACAGAAGGATTCACCTCAGATGTTATATCTACTCTGCCGTCAACATCAGATATCACTACCAATGGTATGACTACCGAGGAGAAGACAACTCAATCAAGGATAACAGAAGGATTCACTTCAGACATTACTTCAACTGCTCCCTTTACAAATATCACCACCATTGGTATGTCTACCGAGGAGGAGACAACTGAATCAAGAACTACTGAGGGATTCACTTCAGACATTACTTCAACTTGGCCTTCAACATCAGATATCACCACCTATGGTCTGACTACCGAGGAGGAGACAACTGAGGGATTAACCTCAGATATGACATCTACCGCTCTACCAACATCAGATATCACCACCAATGGTCTATCTACTAAGGAGGAGACAACTGAATCGAGAACAACAGAAGAATTCACCTCAAACGTTACATCAATTCTGCCGTCAACATCAGATATCACTACCAATGGAATGAATACGGAGGAGGAGACAACTGTATTAGGAACAACTGAGGAATTTACTTCAGATGTTACATCAACTGCTCCCTTAACAACAGATATCACCACCATTGATAAGTCTACCAAGGAGGAGACAACTGAATCAAGAACTACTGAGGGATTCACTTCAGACATTACTTCGACTGGGGCTTCAACATCAGATATCACCACCGATGGTCTGACTACCGAGGAGGAGACAACTGAGGGATTAACCTCAGATATGACATCTACCGCTCTACCAACATCAGATATCACAACAAATGGTATGACTACGGAGGAGGAGACAACTGAATTAGGAACAACTGAGGGATTTACCTCAGATGTGACATCAACTGCTCCCTTAACAACAAATATCACTACCATTGGTATGTCTACCAAGGAGGAGACAACTGAATCAAGAACTACTGAGGGATTCACTTCAGACATTTTTTCAACTGGGCCTTCAACATCAGATATCACCACCAATGGTCTATCTACTAAGGAGGAGAAAACTGAATCGGGAACAACAGAAGAATTCACCTCAGATGTTTCATCAACTCTGTCATCAACATCAGATATCACTACTAATGGTCTGACTACCGAGGAGGAGACGACTGAGGGATTTACCTCAGATATGACATCTACTGCTCTACCAACATCAGATATCATAACCAATGATATGACTATGGAGGAGGAGACAACTGAATTAGGAACAACTGAGGAATTTACTTCAGATGTAAAATCAACTGCTCCCTTAACAACAGATATCACCACCATTGGTATGTCTACCGAGGAGGAGACAACTGAATCAAGAACTACTGAGGGATTCACTTCAGACATTACTTCAACTGGGCCTTCAACATCAGATATCACCACCGATGGTCTGACTACCGAGGAGGAGACAACTGAGGGATTAACCTCAGATATGACATCTACCGCTCTACCAACATCAGATACTACAACAAATGGTATGACTACGGAGGAAACAACTGATTTAGGAACAACTGAGGAATTTACTCCCTTAACAACAGATATCACCACCATTGGTATGTCTACCAAGGAGGAAACAACTGAATCAAGAACTACTGAGGGATTCACTTCAGACATTATTTCAACTGGGCCTTCGACATCAGATATCACCACCAATGGTCTATCTACTAAGGAGGAGAAAACTGAATCGGGAACAACAGAAGAATTCACCTCAGATGTTACATCAACTCTGTCGTCAACATCAGATATCACTACTAATGGTCTGACTACCGAGGAGGAGACGACTGAGGGATTAACCTCAGATATGACATCTACCGCTCTACCAACATCAGATATCATAACCAATGGTATGACTACGGAGGAGGAGACAACTGAATTAAAAACAACTGAGGAATTTACTTCAGATGTAACATCAACTGCTCCCTTAACCACAGATATCACCATCATTGGTATGTCTACCAAGGAGGAAACAACTGAATCAAGAACTACTGAGGGTTTAACTTCAGATATTACTTCAACTGGGCCTTCGACATCAGATATCACCACCAATGGTCTATCTACTAAGGAGGAGACAACTGAATCGGGAACAACAGAAGAATTCACCTCAAATGTTACATCAATTCTGCCGTCAACATCAGATATCACTACCATTGATATGTCTACCAAGGAGGAGACAACTGAATCAAGAACTACTGAGGGATTCACTTCAGACATTACTTCAACTGGGGCTTCAACATCAGATATCACCACCGATGGTCTGACTACCGAGGAGGGGACAACTGAGGGATTAACTTCAGATATGACATCTACCGCTCTACCAACATCAGATATCACAACAAATGGTATGACTACGGAGGAGGAGACAACTGAATTAAGAACAACTGAGGAATTTACTTCAGATGTAACATCAACTGCTCCCTTAACCACAGATATCACCATCATTGGTATGTCTACCAGGGAGGAAACAACTGAATCAAGAACTACTGAGGGTTTCACTTCAGATATTACTTCAACTGGGCCTTCGACATCAGATATCACCACCAATGGTCTATCTACTAAGGAGGAGACAACTGAATCGGGAACAACAGAAGAATTCACCTCAAATGTTACATCCATTCTGCCGTCAACATCAGATATCACTACCATTGATATGTCTACCAAGGAGGAGACAACTGAATCAAGAACTACTGAGGGATTCACTTCAGACATTACTTCAACTGGGGCTTCAACATCAGATATCACCACCGATGGTCTGACTACCGAGGAGGAGACAACTGAGGGATTAACTTCAGATATGACATCTACCGCTCTACCAACATCAGATATCACAACAAATGGTATGACTACGGAGGAGGAGACAACTGAATTAGGAACAACTGAGGAATTTACTTCAGATGTTACATCAGCTGCTCCTTTAACAACAGATATCACCACCATTGGTATGTCTACCAAGGAGGAGACAACTGAATCAAGAACTACTGAGGGATTCACTTCAGACATTACTTCAACTGGGCCTTCAACATCAGATATCACTACCAATGGTATGACTACAGAGGAGGAGACAACTGAATCGGGAACAACAGAAGAATTCACCTCAGATGTTACATCAACTCTGTCGTCAACATCAGATATCACTACTAATGGTCTGACTACCGAGGAGGAGACGACTGAGGGATTAACTTCAGATATGACATCTACTGCTCTACGAACATCAGATATCATAACCAATGGTATGACTACGGAGGAGGAGACAACTGAATTAGGAACAACTGAGGAATTTACTTCAGATGTAACATCAACTGCTCCCTTAACAACAGATATCACCACCATTGGTATGTCTACCGAGGAGGAGACAACTGAATCAGGAACAACTGAAGGATTCACTTCAGACATTACTTCGATTGGGCCGTCTACATCAGACATCACCACCAATGGTCTGACTACGGAGGAGACAACTGAATCAGGAACAACAGAAGGATTCACCTCAGATGTTATATCTACTCTGCCGTCAACATCAGATATCACTACCAATGGTATGACTACCGAGGAGAAGACAACTCAATCAAGGATAACAGAAGGATTCACTTCAGACATTACTTCAACTGCTCCCTTTACAAATATCACCACCATTGGTATGTCTACCGAGGAGGAGACAACTGAATCAAGAACTACTGAGGGATTCACTTCAGACATTACTTCAACTTGGCCTTCAACATCAGATATCACCACCTATGGTCTGACTACCGAGGAGGAGACAACTGAGGGATTAACCTCAGATATGACATCTACCGCTCTACCAACATCAGATATCACCACCAATGGTCTGACTACTGAGGAGGAGACAACTGATTTAGAAACAACTGAGGGATTCACTTCAGACATTACTTCGACTGGGCCGTCTACATCAGATATCACTACTAATGGTCTGACTACCGAGGAGGAGACAACTGAATCAGGAACAACAGAAGGATTCACTTCAGACGTTACTTCAACTGCTCCCTTAAAAACAAATAGCACCACCATTGGTATGTCTACCGAGGAGGAGACAACTGAATCAAGAACTACTGAGGGATTCACTTCAGACATTACTTCAACTGGGCCTTCAACATCAGATATCACTACCAATGGTATGACTACAGAGGAGGAGACAACTGAATCGGCAACAACAGAAGGATTCACCTCAGATGTTACATCAACTCTGTCGTCAACATCAGATATCACTACTAATGGTCTGACTACTAAGGAGGAGACGACTGAGGGTTTAACCTCAGATATGACATCAACTCTGCCGTCGAAATCAGATATCACTACTAATGGTCCGACTACCGAGGAGGAGACAACTGAATTAGGAACAACTGATGGATTCACCTCAGATATGACATCTACTACTCTACCAACAACAGATATCACAACCAATGGTCTATCTACTGAGGAGGAGACAACTAAATCGGGAACAACAGAAGAATTCACCTCAGATGTTACATCAATTCTGCCGTCAACATCAGATATCACTACCAATGGTCTATCTACTGAGGAGGAGACAACTGAATCGGGAACAACAGAAGTATTCACCTCAGATGTTACATCAACTCTGCCGTCAACATCAGATATCACTACTAATGGTCTGACTACCAAGGAGGAGACAACTGAGGGATTAACCTCAGATATGACATCTACCGCTCTACCAACATCAGATATCACAACCAATGGTATGACTACAGAGGAGGTGACAACTGAATTAGCAACAACTGAGGGATTAACCTCAGATGTGACATCAACTGCTCCCTTAACAACATATATGGCACTTAGAGAGAGAGAGAGAGAGAGAAGCAGTTTTGAGAATGTGTCACATTTAATATATGTCATTCCCAAAGACACACAGCAACTGCTAATCAAGTAAAGTAAGCGCAGACATTTTGAATAAAGGCATTTAGTTCTGTATTAGTACATATTACATTTACTTTTTTCCTTCGGGAACAACTTTAGAATCAACACCTGAAACAACAGCTGGAAGTACAACAACTACAACACCTGGAACAACACAAATGCCAAACAGCAATTGATAACCATGTACAAAATATGCACATAAATCTTGAATAAATATGTATAGGTTCTTTAGTTTTGAGTTTAACATTTATTTTTATCCCTCAGGAAAAATACCGGGAACCACACCAACTACTCCTCCACCAGAACTCTATTTCCCTTATAGAGCTTCTAACCAGCAAACAGCTTTCGAGACTGCTGCACTCGATTTCATGACTGTGGAAATAGAAACTGGAATACCTATAGGCGAGAATTCATTGTACTCCTTCGTGACGGTAAGCTCAACTTCTCATTCCTCTTCAATCAAGCCTCATTCAAATATGAAGCGGTTGTAATGACGCATGTAAAGCTTGACCCGCGCTTTAAACTTATGTGAAGTCTGACTGAATAGAATAACATTGATTACTATTGGATATGGAACACTAATGAATTCCTATCCTTTGACTTGAGCATAAACTGTCTCGAAATAGATTCTTCCTTGAAATAATACCTCCGGTTTTGTAGTTCTTTTTCTTCTTCTTTTTTGTTGTTGTTTTGTTTGGATAAGTTTTATTTGCAATTCACATTGTCACAAAAGATAACCTCAAAATAAATACATATTTTTCACTTCAAAGATACAGAGACATGATTGAATAAAATGGAAAATCTCCTAAAATGACATTGAGTAAGATTTTAATTATGCTATACAGATACTATTCCATATTTTCTTATGGAATTCTAAACGGTTGAGTTTAAAAGATAGCATGCGTTCTGTTTTTTTCTAATTGTATTCCAGAAAATTGGAGGGATTTAAATAAAGGAACGATGTCTTGACATTTACATAAAAAGATAAAATATTTTCCATATAATATAATGTTTACCAGATAAAAGTATTCTCCTACTAATGTTCCAAAGTAAATTTCTATACGTGATAATCTAATGAGTCACATCTTTTTAGAAATCAAGCCAACTGTACAGATCATTCCAGAATCTTGAGACAAAAAGGCATTCAAAAAATAAATGAATTATTGTTTGTTCATTTTGATTAAACATTTATATTTTGATCAAAATTTCAGATTTTATACAAGAAGGAATTCGTAGCAATTTTCTTATGAATACATTTGAATTGAAAATTTCTAAATTTGTTATATATTAAAACGAAACCTCCATACTTCGTCGACTGATAATTATAGTGACAGATAATTTTCCCATTTGAGTTGTTGATCTGTTTCTGACAAAGCAATAGTATAACTACGTAAAAAGGTAGAGTAACAAAGTTTTAAAACTTGTTTGTGCTTAAGGAAATTGTGAAATCGGTCATCATGTGGTTCACTTCATTCATTTTTCCATAGATTGGCTCCTTATTTCCTTTTTCAGTTTATTCGGAGTGTTGGCTCAGTCAGTAGAGCGTCCGCATTACAACCGGGGGGTCATGGGTTCGAACCCCGGCCGCGTCATACAAAAAGACGTTAAAAGATAGGAGTTGATGCTACCTTGTTTGGCGTTCAATAATAAGGGATAGAGCAACGTCGATCTGTCGCTGCTCGGTGGCTGCCCGGCTCACGATCAATTGGGCAAAAAGAATTTCCGTTTCGGATTAACTTAATAAAATTTGGAGTGGACATAAGAGATTAAGAGATTATTATTATTTGGGATGGTAGATATAAGTGAATTATATATTGTTCTTCTTTTTTTCTTGTATTCGCTGGTTGTTTTCAAAGTTAACGTAAACTCAGAATCATTGCTGAACTTGAATGATTTTTAAGGGTTATAGACAGCTCGGAGATCTCATGTATCAACAAATTATCCCAAAATATCCACACATTTTTTTTTTTAGATATTGAGAAGCCGAGCTTTGTGTATTTTAGAATAATCACTGCCAAAGTTATAAAGGCAGCTTTGGCTACCTAGGTACATAACTGAAAGCCTATATTGCCATTTATTAATTGAGCTTCCCTTATATTGTCCGACTTCTGTTTTCTGATCATTTTTGTGTTCTACTCAAATGAATGCAAGACGTGAAGCTTCAGTATGTACTGTATTTGCTGCTATATTATTCGATTGTGTAGTACCGACCATTATTATCATTATTGTTATTATATACTGCGCTTTTCCAGAGCGGCCCAAAGCGCTTACAACAAGAAGAATCCTACATAAAAAATGAGAATGAAAACTTACAGAATCCTAAACATCTGGATTAAAAAAAGAAATATTTGTTAAGTCCCTTTTTAAATAAAGAGGCAGATGGTGATTGCCTGAGTATTAAAGATAGTCTATTCCAATATTTAGATGCAGTTATAGTGAAAGTCCTATCTCCAGGTAGTTTCCGTGTGATGTTGTATGTAAGACGGAGTGGGTCACTGTAGGCTCGTAGATGCCTGCGAGGGGTGTATAGGGTCAAACAATCATGTAGGTATTAAGGGGCCTGTTTATTAAGGGATTTATAGACTAAAACAAGTAATTTAAAAACGATACGATGTCTTACAGGAAGCCAATGAAACAAGTCAAGGAGTGGTTTAGGAGAGTGAGATCTCGTAACCTGATAAATAAGCCGGGCTGCATAATTTTAAGTCGTTGGATACGATCTAATTGAGTACAGGGATAGTGGAAAGAAGGCCATTGCAGTAATCTAAACGAGACAGAACTAGAGAACGAATTACATTGTTTCAGGCGGATTGATTTATGTATATTCTTATTCAAGAAATGTTCCTTAAAAGAAAAATTGCAGTAGTACATATTTGAGAGACGCGATCTGACATTGACATTTCTCTATCCAAGAGTACGCCTAGATTCTTAACAGTGAAGGGCTTATGAATACATTACCAACTTTTAACTTAAGATCTGGTAGATTGCGTTAACTGTGAGGAGAGGCTACTACAAATAATTATTACATCTTCGTCTTCGAGTCACTCAAATTCAATTTATTAACTAACATCCAATTTACAATATCTGAAATGCAATATCTTTTTCATTTGTTTTTCTTTTGATAATTTCAGGCCACAACAACAGGAGTTATCCAGTTTTCTAAGCAACGTCCTACAAGAATGATACTCAATCAATTCACAAATCCTTCAAGATTCGATATAATAGATCAATACGTATCAGATCCTGCTGTTGCCGTGTTTGGGGCACCTGTTGACGCTTATATCGGCAGCCCGAGCATATATCATGAGGTATGTATGCAGCCCGAGTATATATCATGAGGTATGTATGTGGGCCGAGTATATACCATGACGTATTTATGCTGCACGAGTATTTATCATGAGGTATGTATACGGCACGAGTATTTATCATGAGGTATGTATGCGGCACGAGTATATATCCTGAGGTATTTATGCAGCCCGAGTATATATCACGACGTATTTATGCGGCACGAGTATTTATCATGAGGTATGTATGCGGCACGAGCAGACCCAGAATCAACGGGAAAGAGAATGTCAAGAACTGGAGTGGACTAAAACTGCAATAGTGCACCAGAATGGCAGAAGAAATGTTGCAATCAACCTCTGAACCGGGAGAAGATACTTAGATAGATTTATGCAGCCTGAGTATATATCATGAGGTATGTATGCAGCCTTGCTATAACATGAGGTATGTATGCAGCACGATTATATATATTTAGGTATGTATGCAACACAAATAATTATCATGAGGTATATATGCATCTCGAGTATATATTATCAGGTATGCATGCAGCCTGAGTATTTATCATGAGGTATGTATATATGCATCTAGAGTATATATTATCAGTTATCTCTTATCAGGTACCTCTTTGTGCCACACAAATAATCTCTCTGCCACACAAATAATCTCTCTTCATTCATGGGACAGCCATACCAAAAGGCTTCCAGATTATTGAACTGTCGTATTAAGGTTATGGAATTGCAAAACCATTACATATGCACAATTTCACGTGTGGCAAACGAGCAACCGTGTAGATGTGCTAAGTGATTTTTGCCATTTTGAAATTTTACCAAAACATGAACAATACTTAGTCTCAAACAGCTGCACATCGCTGATTATTACAAAATGTTGAGTACCAACAAATTACTATTGGTAATGATACCTACAATGCCAAATTGATTCAATTTTACGTATGACATTATTGAAACAAAATTGAGATGAGTTTTATTTTTTCTTCCCACTTCGGATCCTAATAAGTTTTTTTGTTTTTGAATCAAGTAAATTGGAGATCCTGTACGAAATCTTAACATTACTGAGGCAGCATAATTGTTAGATATTTAGAAAACTTGTTTATAAACATTTATTGGCATAAATTACATCTATTTTCAGGTGGAGCAAAGTGTGATTGTAAAAACCTAGTCTGTTTGTTTATAACGTAAGTTGTCATGTTTTTCAAGGTGTTCGAAAGCAGCACCGATGCAGGATTTTTCTCAGCCCTGAGGAACAGACTGAGAACATTAGAGGCAAGTCCATGGGGCGCGGATAACAATGACGTCATTGATACGCTTAGCACTGCTGTGATGTTTACATGGAAGGACTTTCAACCCCCCGGTTCAATTCCTGGGGAAGAGGTATGATGATTCGATCATTAGTCAAATTTAATGTTACGAATTTCATGCAAAGATCATACAAAGGTTATCAAAGGTTCAAAGAAGTTCCTCTTCTTTTCAGAAACAACCTTTTATCTTACACCTGTCACTTCTGTGTTATTGCTTCAAATACGTTTAAATTGATTTTGATATTTATTGACTCAATGGCATATTTGTAAACTTATACCCCCCTCCCTTTACTCTCTTTCTCTCTGTTTCTATCGATCTGGCTTATTCTTTTCAATATACATTTACTCGACATTGCAGTTGTTGACGTACCAGGCCATAGTATTTACTAACGGAGCAAGAACAGGCGTACTGATGTTCTATGAGCAAGGTAGTTTCAGCTGGGATCCCCAATCCAAGGCGGTTCCAGTTAGGATTGGTTACAACTCTAGGTATGCATGGGTGAACCGGTTTCAAGAATCCGATCTTAACGAAAGCTACAAACCAGACCAGTCTATTGGATCACAGTCGGGGACTCAGGTATATACAGTAAATTATATGATATTGAATGGCCTTCAGTCGGTCCAGGGTATATACAATATACTGATCAAGCATAATACATTCCAGCTCGGTATGATGGTCTAAGTATTCATTTGCAAGCAAGCGAGCAAAAGTTATACAAATTGTGAGATCGCAGTGCAAAAAATGACATGTTGTAAAGAGAAGAACAAAACCATGTTCGGTTTTAAGCACAATCCAAGTCGCTATAAATTAGGGGCGCATGCTATGAAGAAGGGTCAAAGGGAACATTTATCAGGAGGGGATGAATAGGACATGTTTCATTAAAAAAGGCTATTGATAATGAGTGGAAATGTGGCACTTCTCGCACTTAAAAAGGGGGCACTCACCAAGGTTTAAGGGGGTAACTTATGAGAATGAAAAAGGGTATCTATCAGATTTGTATAGAGGCATTGGTCATTGATCTTATTAAAAATGAAAAGAGGTACCTATCACATTTTAATAGGGGCATTTATCAAAGATGGAAAGGGTCATTTATGAGAATGGGAGGGGGCTATCATTTAAAAAGAAAATGGGCACGTGTCAACGGAAAAGTGGTACATATCAGATTTTAATAGGGCATTTAGCAGAGGTGTGACCCGTTCGAGCCTGTATACATATCCAAATTATTTCTCTTTTGTAATTGCAGGGAATACTAATTTACAGACTCGACAACAACCCAAGCACGTTCGTTAACTCAGCACTGTTTTGCTCTAACTGGTACACGGACGACAAAGCCACCCTGTGGCCATCGTTGGAATTACGAATTTCATTTACACCTCCATGTCCGTGTTCTGCTTGGCAGGCCGTATTTGATCGTAGATATGGTTTCTGCAGATATTTGTTTGACCAATCAGAGCTGTCTGTGCAGAATAGTATTTTCTTTGGTAAGTTTGCACACATTCTCCAGTATACTGTTCATTTGCTTTCAAAGGCGCAGTTTGACTTCTCCCTGTGTCACTCGTACACAGCATTTTTAAACCGGCGTACTAAGGCTGTGTAAAACTACACAGATACATCGCTAACGAATACAATATTTTCAATACAAATTTGCATCGGCTAGGTTTAAGCGTTGGTCACATCCCACCGTGCGTGTTTTTACTCCGTACGGTTTTGGGGGAGGCCACGGCCGCCACGTTTTTTGAAAACGTAGGGAGGGAGTGGCAAAGGCAGGGAGTGAGTACCGGCAAAGCACGTCACACGCACGGTGTAAGTACGTGGCCCGTACGCCACGCCTGGCCTAGAGCGGTTGCGTACATCGTACGTTGCGCACGTGGTAAGTGCGTTGTACGTGCTTACAACGTGCTTACTACGTGCTTACAACGTACGGTCTCCGTGCGGTTACCACGTTATCTTACGGAGGCCGTACTTACACGTGCTGCTCACGTACGGTGTCCTTACTCACTCGCACGTTGTAATTGCGTGCACGTACGAAGAACTTGGTGAGTCGGGGTATGTCGAAGTATATAGGACGACATTCCCATTTTCTCTAGAAGTCCCAGCTGCTGCTGCCTCCTCATGATGCCGCCCATTCCACCGCAGAGACTCCGGGTTATGATGCTGCAAGAACACATTCAAGTGGCAGCGCATGAGCACGACGTGGTATTACTTGCCTTGATACGGGAGAGAGAGAGGCAACAGAGATGCCGACGCAGGAGATGGTGGGTTCGCCCATGGATCGAGAGGAGGAAGCTTTTCGGGCAGTACGAAACGTTGTTCCAAGAGCTAGAGCGTGAATCGCGGGGGGACTATGTCGAAAACATCCGAATGGACCCCAATCTCTTCGCCGAGCTCCTGCTCCGAGTGACCCCTCGAATCACCAAGTGCCCAAGGTGTGTGTCTTCATTTCTGCCATAACAAATTCTTGGTTTTGCTTTGTATTTGCTTTAAAATTTACGACTTCCGGGTGGCACACAACAGCATATCCACGTTCGTGCCGGAGGTCTGCACCGCCATCTACAAGGAACATAAGGAGGAGATGTTCAACATGCCCTCCACACAGGACGAGTGGAAAGCCGTCGCCAGCCAGTTTGGAACGCGATGGAACTTTCACCACTGTTATGGGGCGATCGATTGGAAATATATCGCCATCAAGAAGCCCAATAAAAGTGGATCGCTCTATTACATTATTATAAGCGCTTCTGTTCTGTGGTGCTCCTGGCCATCGTGGATGCTAACTATTCCTTCTTGTGGTGCAAGGTGGGGGCAAACGGCTCTTCCTCAGACGCACGCGTGTTAAACGAGTCCACCCTCCGGGAGGCACTGGAGGATAACACCATTGGATTCCCAGCACCGGATCCACTTCCAGGCGACGACCGGAACTTTCCCTACTTCATCGTAGGCGATGATGCTTTTCCCCTGCGAAAGTGGCTCTTGAAGCCATACAGTCGCCGTGCCATGACCCACAAAGAGAGCGTGATGAACTATCGGACCTCTCGGGCCCGTCGGGTTGTGGAGAACGGCTTCGGGATATTGGCTCACCGGTGGCGGTGCCTACTCACCACCCTGCTGTTGGAGCCTGACACAATTGGCTGCGAAAGCGCCGGCCCGGACTACAGGACCTTAATTTGGACCACGAGGATGAGGATGGCAACGTGGTCCCCGGGGCCTGGAGGGAGGATGTGCAGATGACCGAACCCAACCAGATGGTCGGCCAACGGGCCTCAAGGGAAGGGAAAACCCTGGGAAACTTTTCGAAGAAGACCAGATTGACATAGAAGAACTCAACCAGGCGCTGCTCCTGTTTCGCCGAGTACGAGCAGTTGGCCTTTTCCTTTGTCACACCCTTTTCATGTGACCCCTTCTCCGATCCACCAGCAGCACCCTCCTCATGATCAGACGCTATGGCGTCACCATCTGACTCTTTTTCGCTCCTCCTCTCCTCTTCCTCTCTGGCCCTCTCATCTTCCGCGGCCCGTTTCTGTTGGGCCTCTCTGGCCTTCTTATCCGCTGCCTTTTGAGCTGCAGATGCAGCTGACCCCTTATTCTGTGTCTTCTTCGGCGCCATCTTGGAGACGAAATGTTGGCACTCTTCCGTCGGCTCGGCTTTTGTATACTGCATAACGTGCGTTGTAAGTGCGGAGCACGTGCTTACTCGGTACGGTCCACGTGAGTTCTGCGTGCTCATTAGAAAGTTAAACTGGGGAAGTGGCGAGTAAGCACGGACCACGCGCTTATCACGTGCGCAGCACGCACGTGCTAAGTGCGCCTTCCGTAGAGCAAGTGATCGTGGGAAACAAATTTAAAAACGCACGGAGTCAGCGCGTTGTGCGCTCGTTGGCAGTACCGGGCACGCACGTCACGCGCACTGGGGGTGAATCAGTAGCCCGAACGCAGCGAAAGTTCCTCGTGCACTAAAAGTGCTACGGTGTGTCTGCGTGCTCCCAAATCCGTACGGAGACGGTACTCACCACGTACCGATACCCAAATTTTGCCCACGTTTTTGCACGTAGACAGCACGCACTTGCAAGTACGGCGGGATGTGACCACCGCATAGCCATCATTTTTCAAGCTAGGTACCAGGCTATTGTTATTATAATTTTTTTTTTATTTACTGATTACATTATTATTATTATTATTGTTATAGGTTTTCCCGCCCAACTTCGTAAACTTAGCATCCGAATTAACGTTACGTTCATTCAAGTTCGTGCGAAATTTAATGACTATGTAGATCAACATTTAAAAAGCTAATTGCGTCATTCAATTTGATTTAGTAGCATGCGATTTCATACTCTTGTCACGGAGACGTGCAAAACGAGCATTTAATTTAGAAAAGCGTGCAAAGAGCATTCTAATTGGCGCCGGACAGACGGTGGTATTTCTTCGTGCATTCAATTTCGTGATTAGGCATACATATGTGAGAATTGTGCATTGCTTTTCGTTTGATGTTAATTTGTTACTTTACTGTTTGAATTATTTTATGCAAAGTTTACTTGGAGGAATGACATGCGTATTCTTTCTCTCATTACACAGGTAACTGTCCCCAGAGAAGGTGCACAATTTGTGACTTCTCTTCTAAGCACAAGCTATATATATACAGATCTTTGACAGAGATAAAGTTCAGGTTTAATAAACATGGACATGATGGAAACAAAATACAATAATGGATAAAGAAAAGTATGAAAAGAAAAAAAAAGAAAAGAAAAGAAAAGAAAAAAGAAAGAAAAGAAAATAAAGAAAGATCACCTACTCAATCAAGATTGATAAAAACAAACCATTTTTAAAATAACCCCTATTAAGGCATTGATAATGAAAAATATAAAGATATAAATAAAGAGATGTTTCAACAAAAATAAAGAATGTCGAAAAAAGAGAAAACATAAACTGTAATATAAATATATCAGACAAATAAGAAGATTGCATTTGTGAAATCATGTCAGAAAAGATCATAGAGAAAAAGAATAAATACTATGATTATGAGGTCTAGTTTTAATTTGAATGACCCGATTGCGAAAGAGGTTGCCCATAGACGAAAATGAAACCGCAATTCGCCATAGAATTCACCTCCCACTCAACATTGGCGAAATTGAATGACCCTTTAATACGCATTTCCAAATTGACTGAACCAAGCTTTAATTTGAATGTGCATGTTTAGAAAAATCGATGACTCGAAACGAAATTGAATGCAACAAGTTTAAAAATGAAACAGGTGAGCAATGAGTGGAGACAAATTGCTCGAACATGAATGCACGTTAAAGAAATTGATTGTTGCTTATACGAAATTGGCCGGGAAAACATATATTAAAGGCCAAAGTTTTGGTATGGGGTCATGAATTTGGTTCAAATGAACTTATTGGAAGCATATGCGATCCTACAATATTCAGTGATCGTTGTCGCGGTTGAAATCGAGTCTAAAGTTATGAATTTGTAAATAATAAACTCTTTATGTTGTTTAGCTCTCTCTCTCTCTCAAGGTCATGATATTAATTAAGCGATAGAACAATGTTTCTTCACTTAAATCGACCGATTAGCTATTTCCGTTTGGAAATTATATATCAAATCTACATATTCTTAAATTTGCATGGTCGCAGCTACCATTGTACTGCCGTAGGCGCTATTTGAAATTTATCGAAATTTCCCGGGAGCACCGGTAATTTGTTATATTCATTTTTTTCTCAAAAGCAGAAATGTTTTAGGGTCTAATTTTTCTAATGCTTATAATACATCCACAGGGGCATCCAAATAAATCAAATTTGTGAAGAAACACTATCCGACAAATTTTCCAAAACTTTGTATTACCTTTAATATAATTATATTTGTAAGTCGTCATCATTGTTTTAAATAGTATTACTATAACATTATAATGTTTTTATTATAATTGTTATTTTAAGTACTGATATCATTATCATTATTATTATTAATCACTGTTTTTTTAATTGTCATTATTATCATCGCATGATCCGAACTACACTTTATCTTCATCAAGGTTTCATATTCCCATACTGCCAACAACACCGATGGCTGTTTTTCGGGGGTGGCTACAGGTGTACGTACTTCTTTGGGCTTCTACCTGGCTACGTAATCGACTTATGGTGGAGTTCTCATTATGAAGCGTATACCTCCTCCTATCAACAGTGGCTTGGTAAGGAGGAATTACACAGTTGTATTTTATATGATTTTTGTTTAATTACCTTAACGCCTCGTTCAGATATCAGGCGGTATTAATAAAGAGAGTGTAAATACACTGCATATGTTGTAGCTCAGACAATACTCGTAGTTGTAGATTCATTAATTTCCAGCTTATACAAATTATTTTTAAAAATGAAGACAAAAACGAATGATTTTTAAGTGCAAAGAAACAAAACCTTAGTTACCACTTCATATCTGGACCATCTTGCTCATGATATCTAAGTGGTGATAGTAGCTAATGGAATTAGAAGAATAATTACTATTTATACTGCTACTAGCGCTACTAATACTGCTGCTACTACTACTACTTCTACTACGCCTACGACTATTACTACTTTATAATACTACTACCACTACTGCAATTAATTGTCTGTATTTTTTTTCATTAAAATATATTTAATCAGGAAAACATGAATCAGATATGCATTGTAGATTTTTTTTTTTTAATTTGTTTTACTTTATTGTCCTGAACAGAATAAAAATGTAGTAGACGGATAAATAGATAATGAATATCACTAAAGCTAACAAGTAAAGGTTAAAAACAGTATCAAACTTACATATGAGAATAATATGCATTAAAAGTAGTAAAAAGCACAAAATAATTAACAAAAAACGACAATGTGATATTTAAAATCAACAGCGGAAAAGCATCAAATCACTTTAATAAAAGGCATTGAAATATCACCAAAAAGATTAAAAGAGGAGAAAAGATACAAGGAAATTGGTATAAAGTAGAGAAGAAAAGAGAGAAAGAAAGAAAGAGAAGGAGAGGGGGAAGGGCGAGAGAGAGAGAAAGAAAGAAATAAGCCGCGTCAAGAGCAGTATAGGAATCGGCATTGTATCACACAGGTTTTAAAAAAAATTGTCGATGTACATACGTTTAACACTGATAATAACCTCCTACTACTGGTAGCCTACGACTACTACTACTACTACAACTGTTACTACTGCTGCTACTACTACTACTACTACTACTATACTAACAACTAGCTACTACAACTACTACTGGTACTACTCTACTACAGCTACTACTGCTACTAATACGCTACTACTACTACTCTACTATTGTTACTACTACTACTACTGCTACTGGTACTAATACGCATACGACTATTACTGATAATACTTTATAATATTATTACCATTACTGCAATTAATGCTGATCCTATAATCCTACTAATGGTACTACTGCTACTACTTCTACTACTACTTCTACTACTACTACTACTACTAGCTAATACGACTACTATTGGTACTACTCTACTACTGCTACATCTACTCCTACTACTTGTACTATTTCAACTACTACTTCTACTATTACTACTACTACTACGCCTACGACTATTACTACTTCTAATTTCTAATACTACATGTACTACTGCAAGTAATACCGATAATATACTTCTACTACTGGTACTACTACTATTACTATTACTACTAATACTTATATTACTACCATACTCTTATAACTATGCCTTCTAATAGTACTGCTACTACTACTACTACTACTACTACTACTCTACTACTGCTTCTACTACCACTACTAATATTGCTTCTGCTACTACTACTAGCTGGTTTGGCTCCATAACTCCAGAGCCTTGTTTATAGGGCAATTACTAAAAAAAGGGCAACATTTCTGCAAATAATGCATGACCATATTGTTTGATGCAGGGAATTCAGTTATCCTTAAAACCCTAAATTGGTTACACATTGATAGCTGGGTTCAAGAATGAGACAACGCTTCTACCCATGTATAATGTTTTCAGAGACTTTATGTATTATTAGAACAATGTAGCAACAGAAAGATAAATGTGTTTTGTTGTCAATTCGTGGAACAACATGTTTTGAAAGGAATAATCAATTTAACTTTTTTGTTCATACAGCAAATGACGTGCTCCCAAGGTATCACTGCTGCCAAGTAGCTGATGGAGATTTCTGTGATATGTACGAGGAAAGACGCCCTCCTTCGACATGCTCACGATATAGACCTCCGCGAATTGGTAAGCTCTTTATATTTTGTTTCAAAAATGTCTTTTGTTGAAAATAATTATCAGTATTAAAGCAAGCTTCACGGTGAGCAAAATTCCTAAAATGCTAGAAAAAAGGCGTATCATTGTCGTTTTTTATGCAGTTATAATGTGTTTTAAACACGCGATGCACAAACCTCATCAATGTAAGTAGCTACAAAACGGACATAGAACAGAAGATTTTTCGTAGAAAAAAACAGCGGTTCTAAATCATGGAATGCCACAGTAACCATAAATGATGACAAAATAGCGAGAAAACAGCTGTTAAAAAAGACAAAATACCGAGAACAACAGAATCCTGAATAGAGCTCTCTGTCCTTGTGATTTTCATATCTGGAAACATGCAAGCCATCTTGTCAAAGAATGGTAGGCCTTAATCAGGAAGTCTCGACAATATGAAATTATAAATACTGAGTTGTTGCGATCTTAAGGATAACTCAAGGGTTCAATAGCTCAATTTAAGGAATTGAGAACTTCGTTGTAAAGCAAATGATGCATGTTCTTATTCTTTCAATGCAGGATATAAACGCTCTCGTAAATGTTGTCTATGAGCTTCCCATACGAAGCCGCATAACCAGACCCAACTTAAGTGCGGATAGATAGTATATAGATATAATATTAAAACTTATTTGTATACATCATTTCCCGCCCCCCCCCCCCCCCCACTTCGGGGTCGAAATGACCGCATGCGTTTTACCAAAATGTCCGGTAAAGGGGTACTTTTCGTGCAACAAAGTTTGGCCCGAGAATTGTAAAAAAAAAGGGGTGTATTTGACTTTTCACCCGGAGATTTCTTTAAAAAGGGGGTGATTTTTTTTCTTTCTCTCATCTCTTTGGACTCCTGAGAAATTATTCCGAATTTAGGGGGGTACATTGAGCATTTTTCCGGATTTAGGGGGGTCTCCAAGGCAGGAAAAGCCTGCGAAAACTCCGTGAAAGGAGGGTTCGGAAATATTGGTAGTCCTCAGATAGGGGGTGCTTTCAAAAAGAGGGAACAAGCATATGCGTATCCTAAATAACACTGAGTGGGGGGGGGGGGGGACATCATTTGTATACTATAAGTTATATTGTTGAGCACGATATGTTACTTGTATGACCACGCCAGCAACTGCCGTGGTTGTAACGCACCACGAACATGATGAAATATCGTCAAAGATTTCAACGAAGAGTGCAGTCGCTATTGACTGTGAATTCATCGGATGTGTAATGGGCATCAATGATAATTATCGTGATAATGATTATGATAATGATGATAATGATGATGACAATTTTTTTTACAGCATGGTTCTGGGGCGACCCCCACATCAATACATTGGATGGAAGAATGTATACTTTCAATGGTCTTGGGGAGTACACTATGTTGGAGTACAATAACAACGATACATTCGTTCTGCAGGCCAGGACTGGCAAAGCCTTCAATAATAGCAAGCCCATCGAAACAGGAACTGTCTTTACCGGATTCGCTGCTACACAGGGCATCACAGTGGTAAATCTCGGTTAACACTTGTTCAGATATGCAGCGATATAAATTGCATTGATTTTTGTTGTTTCTTTCTTGTATAATTGCGTAAAGATCAGAGTTGTATGTACGCTTTATTTTCTGTATCGTGAAACACATAGCTTGAGTGAGTACACACGTAAAACCTTTGGTGCAGCCAGATGCCATTCATTTCAACTTATAGACAAAACACTGTGGGTAACTGTGTCATATCTAAACAAGCTTTTAAGGTTAAACCTGTATCTAAAGACTGCTAGAAAGAAACAGCAACAATTGTATTTGTAGCCGGATGATCCTTATTGACATGTTCCTTTAGTATGTTTTTCAAAGAAAAACAGTGGAACCTTGATAATTATACAGAAACTAGATCAAGGGAGACAATAATTGCAGTCTCTGTAGACAGGACAGGTCTTTATTGACAAGTTCTTTTAGTATGTATTTGAAACATAAATTAATAGAAAATTTACTTATAGATCGGGAAAAGGAGATAATGAATTATCGCTCTCACCAATAACTTTAAATACAGACCGTGAGGGGGAAACAACGAATTTCCGGTATCGCCAATCATAAACAAAATGTATACTTCCAAATGTTCGGATGTACGTATACTCGTGGACGTAATTTCGATCCACTTCTATAGTTGACGTAACATTCATGTGCATTGCACGTAAGTACATGTACGTGTCGAATAGCTGTCCCAGGTTGCTTAGTTTTAGTGACGGCATCAACGGAAAACAAGAGAAAGATACTTCAAATCATATCTACGACCAGTTTGAATTAAACAATGAAAGGTCATTCTTGTAACTTCAACAAATGACAAGCTTAACTTTGGATTACCCGACCAAAACTTAGGCAAAGGAACCATATATTGAATCCCGTCTGTTGGTATTTTAGAAGGTTTTTTTTCACATGCCAATGAACACAATCAAATAAATTTGACGTTATAATTATTCTGCTTTAACTTGCTCTTGCCCATCAAACATTCAAATATCTAATTGTTGGTATATTCAACGATATTTCCATACGTTTTTGGTAATAATTCACTCCTGAAATCGCTTGAAATTCGTAATAAATAATTGTCATAACTATCGGAAAATACAGTACACACTTCATTTTCTATCGTTTATTATCATTTAGTAATGTTGTATGTGATACGTGTTGCCATGCTGACTTTGTTCTCTTTTATATGTTAAAAAACAGGTGGAGTTTTCCCTGAATGACAACAGAACTGACATGAGGATCCTCATTAACAGAACCGAAGAGATAACTGACTTGACTGAGTTAGAAGGAGGTATAAATAAACCCATAAGCATTGTTCAGGGAAGAGCGGTGCAAAATCAAGTTTTGTTGTATTGCACCCTATCCTATATAACAAAATAATTGATGGATGGTGTTACTTACCATTGCATAGGCTTGGGGATCATAAATATTATCAATATTGTTGTTTGTATTTTAGCCGAGTCTTTTATCATGCATGTTTAAGGTCTTCAATCCTTCCTCGCCTAGGTAAAGTATTTAGGGGTTCATTATTTGAGTTACATAAGTGTACATATTACTATTATCATTGTTATTTTAAATAGTGGTAGTAGTAGTAGTAGCAGTCGTAAAAAGAAGTAGCAGCAGTATTAGTAGTAGTAGTAGTAGTAGTAGTAGTATCATATGGCTAATACTTTTACTTCTATCGCTACTTATATTATTAATAGTATTATCATTGTTATTGTTGTAGTAGTAGTAGTAGTAGTAGTAGTAGCAGTAGTGACATAAAGTTATTTATTTTAACTAAATGATAATTAAAACAAATATTTTGGATTTAAGTAGCGTCTAATCAATCAAAGATGTCTCGGGTGCTTCACATATTCCTTCTTATTATAATCATTAGATATGTTTTCAATATTTTCCCTTCCTTTTTTCTCTCCGTCGTGACAAAGACGGCTTTGCCTCCGCAGATTCTTCATTTTCTTTAACGCGTGAGAATGGAACCACTGTGGACGAAATCAAGGTCAATGCTTACTTTCAGGTTGGTAACACACCCGCTACGTCTTTCACCGTTACCTTTTCTAACGGGATTCTTCTCGTGACCATCGAAGCACCGCCGGAATACGATGAAGATGGACCTGGCAGAGGTCTTCTAGGTTAGTATTCAATAACAAGAGCGTTTTAACACAAAGCTGTCGCAACACCTTATAAAATCGTGTGTGTGTGGGGGGGGGGGGTACAATTTGCCGACAAGCATGAAAAGTCAACTGAAAATTCAAAAACTTATCGACAAGTAAAACATGACGATTTTCCAATTGTAAAATATGCCGACATCCTATAGAATTGTTGAATTTTTGCTTACAGAAATATTCTTAAATGTGTTTCGTGCCTGGTCATGGGATACATTTGGAAAGAAACTGTTCTCAAATTTCAATGAACAGGTGATGCACTTGGCTAATAAAGTTACCTCAGGTTTCTTGTCATCATGTGTGTCTAACTCTATACATATATTGCTGGATCCCAAACCATTGTTGAACGTAGCATGTTTAAACTGTTTCATCCGCCCTTTGAGAATGATGTCCATCCTAAAGTACTAGGCATTTAGGGGACACGTAATAATGAACTCATTCGCTCACGATGCTTTCTAATAACAGGTGGGTGAAATCATTAAAAAAGAGGCACTTCAAAATACGAAAGCATTACATTTTATTAAATATTAAGAAAATTGTCAATTTCATTTCATTTCTCCAGGTAATATGAATGGCGATAGTTCAGATGATTTCCTGCTCCGAAATGGCACTACTCTTGAGGATTCGCTAGCCACAAACCTCACGGACAAGGAGATATTTGACTTCGGACAGTCATGTAAGTATATTTTCTTTACTGTGTTACGATTGCAAAATTCTCTGACCTAAGCCTAGTACAGATATGGAGCGGTTAACCGCAGTAATTTGTTATCATGTAAAATTGGCAACAGCGCGACAAACGTCCTTTGCGTATTCACTCGAATAGGTCTGTGTCATATTGCAGATACTGTAATGTGAAGCATTTTCATACAGGGGTACGTTAAAGGCAGGCTTTACTACTTCAGCTAAGAGGGATTAGACCACCCAGTGAGTCAGCGAGGTCACTGTGACAGGTGGCTATCTCATTAACTCAGCTCTCATTTAACATAAGAAAAAGAGGATCATGGGGGACCAACAGGCACCGATTGGGGAAGTTTTTTTTATATAGAGGGAGCAAGTAGCTACAAGTAGGACAGTGTGCCTTTAAATAAAGACGATAACAATTGTAGAATTCCAATAATATTATATCTTGGGTGAATAAGATATTACATGTATAAACTATTCTTTTTCTATGTAGTACAAAATAATAATCCCATTTTTAAATGTGTGCTATAGTACTTTGATTTTGTTCACAAAAGTCATTTATGAGGTAACTATAATTACTAGCAAATTTATTGATATGATTACCACTTCTGAAACAATTCTCAGATTGCTTTCATTATTCCTTATAATAGTTAGCAGGAAATCCACGGTGAATAAGCGAGGTAACTACTCAAATAAACGAGGATTAATCCTTTTTTCATTTCCACAATCTTTCTCAAACCATTATATGATTATCACATCTTGTCAAATTATTCTTATAGGTTCTTCCACAAATGATTTGTGATCACCTCTTAAAATATTGCAAAAATAGGCTGGTATGACCTTATTCCAATCGCCTTATTTCTTTATTGCTAACTTCAGGGCAAGCCAGCGAGGCCGAGTCCCTCTTCGAGTACGGCGAGAGGAACTGGACCTATTACAACCCGGCAAACTACACACCGATATTCCTGAGTGAACTCATGGCTCAGGACTCCGAGCGGACAGCTGCTGCAAGGCAGGCGTGCGGTGACGATGAAATGTGCTTGTTTGACTACCTTGCCGTAAGCCCAGAACTGGGAGCAATGACTATGGAGGCCGGGAATACATTTGATGACAACCTTGCCAACCTAGGTATCGATTTAAGCCGTGCCACCCTTTTCGTCTTGTTCACATAATTTGCTGCGGTAAACCGCAGCGGGTTATCCCAAGGAGGTTTTTATTTGTATGTACTAGATAATGAATGGCTAGAGGGAATACAAATTTGTAGATTCACAAAACAACGAAACAAACGTCCTACGCGTTCTCTTCTGTGTGTCGTATAAAGAAACGTTGTTAACCGCAATGATTACAGCGGCATATGTGAACAATTGGGGGGGGGGTCTGGTATAAAAGTCAATAGACATTCAGCAGTTCAAGTTACAAATACGTCAAACATAATTCAAAATAAGTTATGGTAATATCAAATGAGGGTAACGCTTAAAGTAGAAACAAGTGGAGTAATATAGGGTAGCCAATTTCAGGATAAGAATTCATGTAAACAGCGTTCATAATGTTGTATGAGTTTAATTGAGCTGAGTGCATCTTACGTTATCCGAGCCAAGATTCGGGATGGTATTATTTCATTTCGCGATTGCGATTTCTTTCATTTCGTACCTACTGCAGGCTTAAGGGATGGATTTATCCACAAATCCGTACGCATCGATGGTAGGCCCAGCTTAACCTTTCGTTTAGCTAGGTGTAGAAATTTCGAAAATATGCAATCTTCAGCTTGCAGCAGGTTTCGGGAAGATCGTGGTGGTGAAGTAAATAGAAAATTGAATTGTCCACTTCTTTTGTTATCTTCTTATTTCCTTCTCAGACAATTTCCCGCCGAACGTAACTATGATCACTGATCCCAACAATGTTCTTCAAAACAAAGTACTTTGTGTAGAGGTTAACGTAACTGTTCAGCTGACGTTAACGGCTGAAGATCCTAATGACGGGGATATGGTCAATTTTACTTTAGCCGACTCTGTTCCCGATGGTGTAGCTATCAGCTCTGGTAAATACAAAAAAATATTTTAATAATTGTATTTCAGTAGCCATAATGTAGTTTTCATACATTAGTTGCAGCTGGGAAGTACAAACATTATGGCTTGTGCTACTAATGCCTAGGTCACATTTGCTCTACAGCTAGGATACGGCGGCCGTACGCCCCCAAACACAAGAGATACTTGGGGCGGCCGCAGAAGATCTGGGCCTCAGGGTAACCTTAGGGCGTATCCCTATCTTTGCGGGCCGGACGGGTCGCTGTGGGATAATAACGCCGAGTTATTACTGTTTACATTTCTAGTTTTGCCGTAGCGATTAGACACGCCGTACGGTAGCCTTGCGTTGTATATACTCCAGGGGTGCAGCGGTAGCATCAGCCTGCCGTGTGGGCACTTGACGGCTACCTTGCGTCTGCCGTAGTGTTTTGTCAAAAAGCTTCAGCCGCCGCAGGGACGCCCCAAGGACCTTCTAAGGCAACCGTGCGTCATCACTTCAAAGGCCGTACGGCAGTCGCAGATGTTGTGTTTCCACAAATTCAAAATACGCCGTGCGGCTACCCTAACATATGTAACCGCTACCGTATGTGACCGTGGGAATGCTGCGGCGGTCCTTTGATTGCTATTGGCCGTATATATTTAAGACCGCACGACCGCCACGGCAAATTTGACCTAGGCATTAACAACAATTAATGTATACAATTTGCATTTCGACTATTGTATATAGTTACCAGCCCATAACCAGTCAATGAAAGGATTTGTAATGAGGCACTTCACGAAGATATATGCATTATATTTACATACATTACAAGCATAGCCTATTGTAACATGTCCCGTAATGCTCCAAAACCTCTGCCTATTGTTTTAACAAACAAAAAGACTAAAATGTCAATTTTTCAAAAATGTTTTTACTAATGAGGGTCTTTTCTATTAAGAGGACCTATGAGATAAATGGTTTCCATAAAGTAATTGATAAGTGCCCAAAGAGATAAGTAACTTTAGAAAAAGATAATGATGTGTGTGTACATTATAAACGGGAGAGTTCTCCATGGCTGTGTCACAGTCCATTGACCATTTACCTACTGTGAGATTTACAGGTTTTTATAGTGATCTCCAATTTCTAGCGTTCTTAACTTTCTTATAAGCTTATTATTCGTCAGATTTATTACACTCTTTAGCAATTACGTTTCTCTTATTTTCTGTTTTATGAATCTATTACAAATGTTGGATTGCCCTTAAAAGCAATAATGAACTAAGAAACTTTCTGCTTTAGCAAACTGTATATTGCACGGTCCAATTTTATGGTCAACTTTCCGACAGTGCAATGCCTAATTCCTACTTTGCAAGCAGGGGAGTCGATGCGAGAACGCGCCCCCCCCCCCCACCCCCCCCCCACTCAGTGTTATTTAGGGTACGCATAATTATGCTTGTTCCCTCTTTTTGAGAGCACCCCCTATCTGAGGACTGCCAACATTTCCGAACCCCCCTTTCGCGGGCTTTACGCGGGCTTTTCCTGCCTTGGAGACCCCCATAAATCATGAAAAATGCTCAATGTACTCCCCTAAATTCGGAATAATTTCTCAGGAGTCCAAGGAGATGAGAGAAAAAAAAAAGAAAAAACACCCCCCTTTTTAAAGAAATCTCCGGGTGAAAAGTTCATACACCCCCTTTTTTTTTTTTTTACAAATCTCGGGCCGGACTTTGTCGCACGTAAAGTAACCCTTTACCGGACATTTTGGTAACACGCATGGGGTCCGTCCGTTCTCGAAGTGGGGGGGGGGGGGGTGCGATAACCGATTAGAGGAGGCGAGTTGGCTCAGTCGGTAAAGCATCTTCTGGGCAAACCGAAGATCGTTGGTTCCAACCCAGGAGAATGAATGAAGCCTGTGTTTTGTGTTAACATGCCTCTTCCTTGTTTCATAGACGCAGGCTATGTTAAGTGGAGAACACTCTATCCCGTTCTTGGGATAGGATGTAGAGAATAGTCACTACCTGTGCACGTTAGGAACCCACTGCACATTTCGTATACCAGTGAACTGGTAAGTTGTTAAATACAGCCATACTGTAAAAACAGAGTCATCTTTATACAGAGTTAGGCCAACATGGTTTAACTGGTTCACAGCATAGCGTATATTCTTTTGTTTTGTGCTTGCCCAAAAAAGCAGTAGTCGCCACATTGTGTCCAACTCGAACCGGGTTGGCCAAACTCTGTGTATAGATGGCTCTGTTTTTACAGTATGGCTGTATTTAACAACTTTCTTGTGTTACCTTTCAGAGGGCTTATTTGAATGGACACCATCGAGTCTCGATGTATCAAGGATTGAAGTCGTGGTCAGTGATGGCCGAGGTGCGCAATCGGTGGTCTCCTTTAAGGTCAAAATATGCGAATGCATGAACGAGGGAGTATGTGACTTCCAGACTCTAGCCGTAGGCCAGAATCTCAACGCTAATGGATCCGCGGTGAGTTGATTGGTATTTCAAAGTCCTAACGACGTATGTGCTTAAAGTTCAGATTACTGGTCGAAATAACATAGCCTGAGTATGCGATTCAACACGAAATATTTCAAGCAACGGGCTGGGTTAGGGTAAAATTAGTGTTTGGAAACATTAACCTTGACAACTTGTCCAGTACGACACTTTGGTATTCTATTGTTTCATGTTTTACATGACCTCCAATTAGAACAAACAGTATTGATTTAATGACCGACCTACCATAAAAATTACTTGATATATGTATGTATATATATATCAAATCGTACATAAGATTGGTTACGTGATCATGTATTTAGATGTGTAATATTTTATGTTGTAACATGAAATTGTACGCACGGTTAATCATCTGGATCATCTGTTCATAAATTTGCATAATTGTTGCATTTTCAGGATGTCAAGCGCATTCGTACCGACGGTTTATTCAGGCGAGCATGTATATAGTTGCATGTTCTTTTTTTCAGGGGCCTTATTCTAAAATCAATATGATAATTATAAGGAGAAATGATGTAAATTGTTATAACGTACTGAAATTACACAGAACAAACAATTTTCATTGGTGGTCGCCTATTTAAATTTACGCATGCGCAGCTGCACTTGTGCAATTTTACACCTAACTTGTCCCAAATTTGGATAGTTAATATTGATTTACGGACATGAAATATATCTCAGTATTAAGAATATCACCCCAGGTTGTCACATGTAATGTAGAAAGGGTTGGTTATGTGATCACGTTTTAAAAATATATTAATATTTAAGGTTGTCACATGAAATTGTAAATGCGAACTATTGCCATTTCAGGTATCAACAGATTGCTGTACGTACGTCAATGTAAGGCCTTGTGAGGAGAGTCACAAAGAGGCCAATCAAATTGGTTCGCTGCAGCTCAGATAATGTTATATTTCATTAATGTATTAAAAAAAAAAAAGTAACTAATAATTTGGTTTTAAGACACATATGAAGTGTACGATCTGATGAGCAAATAATGTATGAATGTGTACATTTATTTACATTTTTTAAACATTCAGGTTGTCGTGTGCAATTGTACCATCGGGTGGTCAGGTGACCATTGTGATGTAGAATTTGACGCATGTGCAGAGTCTCCCTGCTACGATAGTGTACTATGTATGGACAACCCTGCTGGGGTGACGCCTGACTTTCAGTGTGGTGCCTGCCCGCCAGGCCTGCAGGGTGACGGGGAAACATGCTATGGTATGTGATACCAAATCATTATAGCTTTGTTCTAACCAACTTAAAACAAACAATTTGCTCCCTCCACCCTCCCATTTGGTTTAATCGGTAATAATAATTAGATCATATGCCTGAAACCAAATCAGAGAATAGGGGGAGGTAGAAGAAAAAGAAAATGAAGAGAACGAAGAAGAAGAAGAAGTAGAAAAAGAAGAAGAGGAGGAGGAAACGGAAGTGGAAGAAGAAGACAAAGAAGACAAAATATGATAGTGACCGGACCTCTGTAAGCTTTCAATTCACATTATAAGATGTGTAAACTTAGTTTTATTTGTAAAAACTAAACATTAGCACATGTACATATACATGCATTTTATTAGCAACGAAGCCCATCATGGAACTCACATTTTTTTGCAAGACATTCGTCTACATTTCCAACTCTCACCCAAGTGTTACATGGGTACCAGGTTTGATGAACCTATTGCAATTACGGCTACCAGAGCTAAAGCCACCCTCCAAACTTATTTTGAAGCACATACGGATAATACATGAATATAAATATGATATGGGCTACACTAGAACACTTTTTTTTGTATCATTTATCATGATTTCTCCTTCGGAATATAAGATATCAACGAATGTGAAAGCAACACGACCAACGACTGTGATCAGACCTGCCACAACATCCTCTATGGGTACTACTGTTCTTGCGACGTTGGATTTACTCTTTCTCTGGATACACGTGCATGTATAGGTATGAATGATGGAGGACCGTCGAAAACTAGGGCTCCTGCAGGGCCATGTTTCATTAAACTTTCATTAAACTTGAGAATTAGAGAACAAGTTGAATTAAATGATGCTTAAGTGAGAGTAGTAAGACTTGTGATTGTTGTTGTTGCTGTTATTAATATTATTAGTAGTATACTTATAGATATAATCATCATTACATTATCATAAGCATGTCAAACATTAACTCATGTTAATGGTCATGGTGTATACGCTTGTTTAAATTCACAGAAAAATATCAGTTTTCATACGTCTTCCTATCTATTAGCTTAAATATATTTGTATGTCTCTTTCAAATCCTGATGAAACTAATTTTGTTATCTTTTTTGTAACAAATATATATATATTTGTTTTGGAAACAGACAACGCAGGTTGTACGCCCGCTGCAATGAGCAATACTGGTTCTCCGAATTGTACATGTGCCCCTGGTAACGAGTTTGATAATGGAACCTGTTCAGGTGAGATCTCTTGAATTACATGTGTATACATAAGTTATGTAAAATTATATCTATATCACATGCAGGTAAATAGCTCTCGCTTAGTTTATTCACATGTTATAAACCTACTGATTTCAAACGCGATAGCGACCAATTTCTTAAAATCAACCTAACATAATTACAATAGCTGTGTGATGAAAAGTATCTGAAGTTGGACATGTATATACAAAAAAAGTTTTTATATAACTCTGCCATGGTCTCCAAATATCATGTAAATGTAAGTAAAAGTGTGTTTTGTGTCGTGATTAAAAGATGGACCCGGGCAGCGTTTCATGAAGCGTTATATATATGTAAACGTTTACAGACATTCCATTGCAAAGTGTTTTAAATTAAAAAAACACAATTCATGGCTATTTTTATGCAGATTTCGACGAATGTTTGGGAGAAGTTGATGACTGCCCTGAGGTTTCAACATGTATAAATACAGACGGGGGTTACTTTTGTAGCTGCATTGATGGATATAATACAGTCAACGAAACAAAGTCATGCGAAGGTAAAAATATAATACCATTACATGTCATGAACATAGCGTATTGAGAGAGATAGTTGTGACATGCCAACGCATATGATCATTGAGTAGCGTGCGCGTGTATGTTCGCTACAACTATATCACTCAACACGCTATGGCCATGAGGGTTCGGCGAAAATTATCATAACTAGCAGTAGTAATAGGAGCAGTGGTATTAACAAAATATATTATTGGATGCCCTTTCAGTATGTAATACAGGCATTTTGATATTGATAATAGATAATTGATAATAATTGTATTAGATGCTGCTTGTAAGTGTCGGCTTGTATGGTGATGTAGATATACAGTAGGCTTGCGGGTGCACCGTGTGACAGCAAAACGGACGAGCCGACCATCCATGTCCACTCCGATGACTCAAGCCCGCACGGTCATGTATTTTTCCCTGACGTCCGCACCCCGGTGACTTAAGCTCACGCACGCCAGCTATTCTCCATTCCTGCCGACGGATAGTCAACCTGTCCGAAACGTCGAGCCACTTCCGCCACTCGTCCTCTCCAAGCGCTATAGTTCTCCTTAAAACTATGAGCTAAGAAAGACAACCAACAGTCTTTTTCAAGACTATACCAAACAGTCCTTTCCAGGACTCCTCAATCCTCCCTCTCTCTCACATGGTGCACCCGCAAGCCTACTGTATGATAAATGTAATGATTGTTATATCATATTTTCAAACATACGTATTCATGTGCAATAATATTACATTTACATTTGATTCATTTACATTTAATACAATTTATACAATGCAATACATGACATCGTATGGAAAAAGAATCAAATTGCACGCTTAATTCATATATGAATAAGATTAATATGATATTGCAGAGCCACATCATAAACGTGAATCCTGATGTGCTAGCTGCCTTCTATTAAACTACACAAAAAAAGATAAGACTTGCTGTTATAAGAAAAATAGGAAAAAAAGGGGATGTATTGGGTACCCCATTCATCAAGCCTTGGCTTTTAGGGGTATCCTGACCATTTAAACTGTACAATTCTCATACATGCATGATTTTTATATTGATTTTTTTTAATTTTTTTTAAATGGTTTAATAAAACGAATTGAATTGAAAAATTGAATTGAACACTTTTTGTTCTAGCTACAGCAATAATAACACCTGTTAATATATTGAGACGAGTTTATAAAGTTAATGAATATAGGGGTTAAACCTATATGTTGCTTTGCTATTATACCCATCTGATAACCATACCAGCATTATATACATAACTTTAGCTATTTTGGTGACGTTTTTATTCATTTAAATTTCATCCCTTGATCAATTTTAGTATATGTTTTCATTTTGTATTGAATGTATTTTGTATGTGTTATTTTGGGGGTGTTGATACTATCATGTCTTTCAACTACAGGACTAAGATTCAAAACAGTCCTGCAACTAATTATGTCATGATAGATAGATATGATTGAATAAATGAAATATTTGATTTGTCCCCTTTAGATATCGATGAGTGTGCAACTAGCAACCACATGTGCAACGAAAGTTTGAATCGTGTGTGCATGAACACCGTGGGGAACCACACCTGTATCTGTAATACGAGTTATGCCCTTGTCGACGGATCATGCGAATGTAAGCTTTGATATAGTACAATATTTTTACATTTATTTAGGTATAAATAATGATATTCTTGCTCAGTGTACACATATTTGAAAAACACCTTTTATAAACCGTATCAATGAATTCATGCAAATAAAGATAGGGCTATTTACATAGGGCAGATTACAGGATTTTGAACTATCATAGAGGGATACAATGACGAAAAGATATCATTTGTTTCAGTGCTTATTTGTTAAATTTACAATAAGCTTCTTTGAATGGAACAACCTTTCAGAACCGCCTGCTTCTGTATCATATATCATCAGGAATTGATGAATTTATTCAATTTATTCAATCAACAGCATCATAGAAATGCAGTGCGCCAAATGCAAAGCCGCAGCGTTAAAAAGCAACGAGCTAAATGTTAAGCGCGAAGCGCAAAAATGCAAAAAAGAAGTAGAGAGACAGAGAGGATAATAACCCAGGTAGCAAGCCCATGTGGGACCCACATGGGTCCCATATTCTCTGAAACATGGCCCCATATGGAAAACCATCTGGGGCCCTAAGGCATCTGCACCCAAGAAGCATATGGGACCCATTTGGGTAAACCCATATGAGACAGATGGACCCAGATGGGACCCATACCAAACTGAGACCAAATGGGTATGCCCAGCTTAATCCCATCTGGTACCCATATTGGTTAACCCAGATATATCCCATGTGGGTTAACCCAGATTTTCCCGATGTGTTACCCATATGGGCATATTCATATTCTACCCATAACTACAATACTTGTATTTCTCGAAGTTTCACTTTCCTATAATATCAGCTAAAGAAATCAGAGGTTTAAAAACAATTTAGCCTTAGGCCCCGGGTTTATAGGGTTAAATTGGTAGATATTGGGACATTTAATTTTGTCGATAATTGGGGGCTAGTTTTGTCGGTAATCGTTGGCCTCTACACCCCCCCCCCCCCCCCCCCCCCACTGAAAACGTCTAGCGACGCCCCTGGGTAGGCCTACACTGCAGACAAGAGTCAGGATTAACATTTAGCATGTTATTAATTTTATTACCACTGTTATATTCTCTGAAATGTTAACTTTAGTGAGGGTGAATTGAAAAAGTTAATAACTTGGAAGGGAAGGGGGTGCAACCTGCCACACGCTTCTTCCTCTTGGTTGCTTTGATCCATTGCCGAAAATATTTTGGCACCTATCATCCCCTCCAACCACGGATACAAATCGACACCCTTGTGCACGTGCCATGCTCAGAGAAGCTCGACACGTAGAAAATATTATTTTTGTGTCTGCCTGTAGAGGAGAAAAGAAAAACTTCGATCGCGGAATTCCAGTACGAAAAAAGACATTTCCATCTTGTGAAATCAGAGCTTTCTGTCCCCCCGTGGTAAATCCTACATACATGAAATGCCCTCACTCATTTGACTTCCGTGTTGTTAGGTCAACGAACTGAAACTTTTCGCACCACAACGTTTAATTAATCTATCTAAAATTCATGCAGTTTTCATTTTATACTTCTTGTCTCTATAATGCTTACGCAGTGATATAAACTAATGAGGGTGAGCTGACTGCTTTGAAATGTATATCATATAATTTTGTACTGATAGCTGCTTACTCGTACACTCTGGAACTGAGGTTTGACTTCATCAACGACATAGCAATCAAGCATTATACAGACACTGCACAAAACCAAAACCGACTAGCCGAACAGGTAAGGCACATTATCACATAGTAGTTCTTGGCATCTACCCGATTACTAAACTTGTTGCAAGCGCCATGAAATAAATTTGCTCTTAGACTCGTTCAATCAGATACCATGACTTCAGAAGCTTCTTATAACAGTTACTGAAAGATGTTATTGATAACAAGCTTCATGAAACATGACCGAATACTCGTAATTAAATAAATATTGTATTAATTAGAACATTACATTTAGGCCAACCTACAACATAATGATAACCTATTGATAAGAAGATAAATGGTATTATTCACACTTTCATTTGATAAAAATGAAAAATAGGATTTTTCTTTACGAGGACAAATAATTCCATACAACACTTCTGGGTGTTATTTTCCTTTCGTGAAATTTCATTTCCTACGATTAATATAGTTACAAAGTCGGGGGTTTAAAGAAAACAGGTTCATTAAGAATCCCTTAGAATATGTATCGACTCAAAATGCTTGACCCATTACAGGTGTTTGACCAGCTTAACAGTACATCTGTTATAGAAGATGGGAAACTCGCAGATGTTTTTGTGACTAATTATACCGTGGTCGGTGGCAACGCTTTCGTCGAGTTCCGGATCGATTCGTTCAACTCTATGCTGGACGCGGCTATTTTAGAGTCGGTGTTCTCTGATTCCCTTCCCCCTAGTCGAGTATTTGGCTCGAATAATCGGATCGTCGCAGAAGGTAAGATTTTTTTTGTGTGTGTGTGTGTGTGAAAAGTATTAAATCCAAAGCAATTTGTTTAAAGACCAATAGTAGTGGGCCCTCATGGGGAAATACACAATAACAAATGTTGTCAGTCACCAGGATTTGCCTTCAATATCAGGACCAACATGCCTCATGTAATGCCTTGCACCTCCACTCATTTTTCCCTCACCCGAAGACCCTCCGAGAGGCTAAGATTTGTTGTGTGCAGACTTGTAAACACATTAATGGTATCTCCACCAAGTCTTGTGTATAAGCAAAATATGGCCTTGTGCACATGAAAACTGACGACCTAATTCCATTTATAAGAAATGTCTGCCTCCTAACTACAAGGCTGATTTTCAGCAACTCCAATATATTTTTGTTTCATAATCAATGTTCCATCCAATTTTATTCCTCAAAACTAGTAGGAATATATTCTCGATGGAATTTATTTAAGTCAATGTTTACTTTTGTGGTCGCTTAAGTTAGTGGGAAGTTATAAAATAATTGATTGGCAGTGTATGCCATGTTTGTGTGTGTGAACGGGGATGGGGCGCAGGGTAGTGCGATTTTAGAACCCACTTGTCCCATATACATCATGTTCGGAATTATAATTTTCATGTTTAAATAGTTGACTAACAGGCTTTTGAAATTGCCTTTTTCGTAATAGGTTCATTTTTCAAACGCCGTTTTTATCCTGTTATACATGTATGTAATGTAATTGCTAATAATAATTAGTAATTACAAATGTACTTACAGAGGATAGAGAAGACAATATTATTATCATCAATATTCTTGGTACTTTTTTGATCTCACATTGATGTTGTAGACGTCAACGAGTGCTTAGAGTTTCCCGATGCTTGCCGTAACGGGAATTGTACGAACATATACGGGAGTTTCTATTGCACGTGTAACGACGGCTTCAAGGGAACGGGTACGGATTCTTGCGAAGGTAAGAACATTATGTTTTAATGATTACGGAAGCTATAATGAGAATATATCCCCTTCAATTCAAGCCCTTAAAATGAAATCCTTTATCTCTTATCTTGCATCTAAAGAGATTCTTGCTTGATGACTTAATTATACATCTTTTGTTTTCCCGTGCTATTTAAATTTGCTTTCTTACTTATGGGCTTCATTTAAAGAACTTTATTATTTGCTAACACTTTTGTAGGATATTTCCTAATAATAGAATAATTTAAATAGATATGTATTATTATATCAATCAATTACTTGGTTACAGATTATATTTTTCCCAATTACTTCCTGAAACAAACATATTATTTATAAATATATATATATATATATAGTGTACATTAGCCTTATTATGAGGACTGAGTAATAGATAAGCACAGCTCTGCTATAACATGAGAAAAGCATGGGAAATGGATGTATACTTTAATGTTTCAGAATGAAAATGATGAGTAATCGACTAAAATCTAGCTAAAGGTCTTACATCATGCACGTGTGCAAGCAGAGCCTCGTTTCATGAAATTAATTATCAAGAGCAAGTTACAAATAGTTGTTAAAATCTATTGAAATCGTGCCATTTTATTGGCTGAGACCAAAATTGTCATAGAAATTTAACATTTATTTATATGTATCTTTTATGAAATGTGGACAAGAACGAAAGTTTGGTTCAAACATTCTTAGCTATTTTTTGTCATAACGCGTTAATAAAATTGTAAGGCATCTGACGATCAATCTTTGTCAATGGACATTCTTCTATGATATTCTTCCAACTAAATTATTAGAAATTCACAAATTAATTTGAATCTTTATCAGAGCTCAATCTTCTCTTTAAATCTTTGAAAAATTTGCAAATGCCTTTGTTATACTTTGTGTTTTGATGAACAGATATAAACGAATGTGTGCAGGGGGCGAATGACTGCCAGCAAATATGTTACAACGAGGAGGGTGGATACTCATGTGCGTGCTGGAATGGATACGAGATGGATGGTAGCGGATTTAATTGCACGGGTAGGTTCGATCAAGCTAAAATTTACTTTGAATGTGTTAACGTGTTTCATGACTAAAACTAAAATGTTCTGTGTTTTAAAAGTAACAGTACTACGGTCATAACACATTCACCATTATTACTTTTGTTAAGAGATTTCCCAAGTTGAAATACACTCTAAAGTTAAATAAAAATGAGCAAATTGTGAATAGATTACCTGATGCACTCGTCCACGCTCGCATAAAAGGGCTCGCACGGAACCCAAATCCGACTTGGGTTTAGGGTGCCAGGCTTTATATTAAAATCCTTTCTTTGTTTTGGGGCTCTTTATATGTTAGCCATAGAATGCCAGATGCAATATGTTGGAATTTTCTGAATATACAGGAATAAAAATCCACTTTTTGCAGAGTCATATTTGTGGTATTTCACTCATTTTGTTGTGGAAATCAAGGCTAAATATAGTGCAATCCACACTCAAAAGAATCCTAGCATTTGGTTCAACTCGTAACAAAGTGATTCTATTAAGCGTGATTCGACATTTATATAATTATGGAGATACACATATTTCAGCTTTCCAATCATTAAATATTCAATTGGAAAGAGAAAGTTCATTTAAGGATAATTATCTGTCACCTTTTAATTTCTTAGAAGTAGATATAGCTTCATTTTAATGTCTTAAATATAAACAAAGGGAATGTAATTATTTTTACTAATACAATTGTAACATGATCACGAATACTTTTGTGAAACTAATACAAAGGCAATTTAAATACCCTATTGCAATGCCCATTGATTTAATTTTTGTAATATATGGTTTTTTAATGACTCATTGTAACGATCGCACGTTGCAATAGGTGATGGTCAAGGCTAGTGAAATCATCTTGGGGGTGATTTTGTAAAAGTCTTTGTGAACTTGAAGCCGCAACATGCAAATGTCAGATTGCCAAATTAAAAACAAGAATGTTTACTTCTCCTAGATGTTGACGAATGCTCCAGGAATTCATCGGCCTGTGAAAATGGAATGTGTATGAACCTGGTCGGCTCTTTCAACTGTTCATGTAACTCTGGATATGAAATAAGCAATGACAACATTACTTGCAGTGGTAAGGATTTAATATGAAATTAGTGTCACCTTTTCATCGCATATTTAAAATCTAGATATGAAATAAACACTGACGGTTTTGCGTGAAAAAGTAAGGATGTAATTTCACATTAACGTCACCTTTAGGAGAAGCCGGAAAATTCGATCCGCTTCTGTTACGTTGTGCATTTATAATAAAGAGCGATTTGATTAAAATAATCATTACACTCTCTCTAAATTAGTAATGCAGAGTGAAATTTGTTAGCACTATTTTCGTGAACAAATTTGCAATTTCTTGTTGATTTTCACAATATTTCACAATATTTCATTTAACTTTTTTTTTTTAACTATGAAAGAGTGGAGATTAAAGTAAGTGTTGCCAATTTAAACGGAAAAGCTGATTTATCTAGATCTTTAAAAAAACTCTTAACTGTTGTTGGTGAAGAAAAAATGTTTGCTTTTCCTAGATATTAACGAATGCTCTGCGATTCCATCCGTCTGTGATTCTGAAAATGGAGTGTGTACGAACTTAATGGGCTCTTACAACTGCTCATGTACCCCTGGATATGAATTAAGCACCGATGGTATTACGTGCAATGGTAAGGATAAAATGTCAAATCAGTGTCACCTTTTAGAGACACTTGAAATTGTGATCTACTTCTGTTACATGTTGCCCTTCATGAAAAAGAGCAACTTAATTAAGAATAATCATTTAGCTTCCTAAATTAGCAATTTCAAGTAATGTCGGTAGGGATGTAAAAAAATTGAATTGGTTTTCAGAGATTGTAGAGTGGTTAAAAAAGCTGTCTCCACACAGTTTTAATACCTATTTTGCATTCAAAAAATGAATAAAGACAATATTTTGCTAGATTATGTTAGATTTTTTGTCTCTCAAGATTTTTGAACTTCGGTCTTACCACCTACAGGTGTTTGAATAATAATTTGAAGGATTGTTCACGTTTTAGTAAAACCCTTGGCACAGCAAGAGTAAGAGGCGATTCGACAATTGGACTCTACCCCAATTTGAGTGAAAAGCATTGGAGAGATATTAAGATAATTATGAATATTTGAAATATGAGATCACTAAAGTCTAAACAAATCTCAAAGAGGCAATTTGTTCGGTGGATCGTGATGTATTCAATATATCCCTTTTAAGGGAAGGGGCTCGTCCTGACAAAACAAGGTTGCTTCAAAAGCTAATTGTAATGTGTAAGAAATATATTTATCGTGGTAAACGATACTGCATAATTCAGATGTAAATCATGTGATTAAATAGTGTTTTATTATGTAGAATATATATATATACCTTTTTCGTCTTTATTCCAGTGACATCAAGTGCCACAACTATGCAGCCTGAAACAACACCTAGTGCCACCTCACAAATTGGTAAAGGGATAGGTTTAGTAAACAAATTTCACAATTATCAGTGTCTTGACTGATTAGTACAACATATAAATAAATTAATAATGACAGTCTTGGCACCGGTAAGGATGTAATGAATTTGAATTGCTTTATTGAATTCTTTTAGATTCTTTGTCTCTCAAGATCTGATGTGCCTTGCATTAATACTATAGGAGTTTTAATTCTTGATTTGCCGATGTCACACTTTTAAGGGAAGGGGCTCGTCCTGACAAAACAAGGTTGCTTCAAAAGCTAATTTACAATTGTGTAAAAATATATTTATCCTGGTAAACGATACTGCATAATTCAGATGTAAATCATGTGATTAAATAGTGTTTTATTATGTAGAATATATATATATATACCTTTTTCGTCTTTATTCCAGTGACATCAAGTGCCACAACTATGCAGCCTGAAACAACATCTAGTGCCACCTCACAAATTGGTAAAACGATAGGGTTTAGTAAACACATTTCACAATTACTAGTGTCACGAAAGATTACTACAAAAATTGAATCAAGTAATGATGGCATTCTTGCCATCATTAAGGATGTAATGAATTTGAATTTGAAATCGTGTGAATATATAATGGTGTATAATGTACAATAACTATACCTTCTTTGTATCTTTTCCAGTTTCATCAAGTGCCACAACCATGCAGCCTGAAATAACACCTAGTGCCACCTCACAAATTGGTAAAGGAATAGGTTTAGTAAACGAATTTCACAATTATCAGTGTCTTGACTGATTAGTACAACATATAAATAAATTAATAATGACAGTCTTGGCACCGGTAAGGATGTAATGAATTTGAATTGCTTTATTGAATTCCTTTAGATTCTTTGTCTTTTTTAAGATCTGATGTGCCTTGCATTACTACCATAGGAGCTTTAATTCTTGATTTGCCGATGTCACATTTATGAGAGCCTATTAATGTATATTGTTAATGTTTTGTATTATATATCTGTTTAGTTAACTTTGTATCATTCCTCAATCTACATGTAATCGAGTCAAATATCCCTGCCAAAGGAAAATTGGACATATAATACATTGAATTGAATCGTTTAGAGATTAAACGAAGCGTTATTAATATCTAAGAGTTATTATATTCTATGATATAATTTTGTTGTCGAGCCAACTGCAAACTGTGCCTAAGGTCAACCTTAACTGTAACAGTTATTACTTGTAAAAACATGAGGAACTAACATAAAAAGCACTATTAAACAGATACTCACTTTTTACAATAATGAACTTTAGTGTGGTTTTCATTAGAATGGTAAAATATTTTAACTACTTTTGCACACATACTACATGATGGAGTGACCAAAGTTCGCGAAGATTAAAAATATTCGGAAATGTATTTTTTGGTCCAAATTTGTTCTTATTCTACACAGATTTATTTAGTTCAATCTTTGCTTAATGTCCCTCAAATTTGTTTACTAAAAATTGGTGTCATTAGAAAATGTATCGTCAAAGAATTCTGGAGTTATCGCGATCTAAACATTCGATGTTGGATTAGAATGCGCGGCAACTCGAGAATTGTTTTATTTATTTTTAAAGCGGGGGCCTTAATTCCCGTTAAGGAAGTTTACAGCTTATTTATCACAGAAAGCCTGTTTTGCAAGGCAAGATATACAAGTTTGTACCACTTTTTAAGTACAATACCGAAGGCATCTTTTGTCACTATTTTCATAATTCACCCCCAATTCGACAGCAAATTTCGTTTCTGGTCAATTTTAATTTCCCATCTCCATTTGTGGTATTAGATCTTTCTTTTTTTAAACTACCAATCAATTTGGTCGGTAGATTGTGATGTATTCACTATTAGCAGTGAAATGCAAAGAGCGAAGTCCTTTTAAAGGAAGGCGCTTGTCCCCTTGTCCTGACCGAAAAAAAATGTTGCCAAAAAAAGCTAACTATTCAACCTGTGTAATAAAAATGTATTCACCGTGGAATACGATATTGCAAAATTCAGATGCTGATTATGTACAAATACAGTGTCGTATTATGTAGAATAAGCATACCTTTTTGTCTCCTTTCCAGTGTCATCAAGTGCCACAACCATGCAGCCAGAAACAACACCTAGTACCACCATACAATTTGGTAAAGGAATAGGTTTAGTAAATTCATTTCACAATTACCAGTGTCTTGACTGATTCGTACCAAAAATTACAATCGAAAATGAATGTCTTTTTATTGAAATAACAATTCAGCAGGGATGATTAACATCATCATACAGTTATACTTCATAATAATAATATCTCCGCTTTTATATAGCGCTTACAAAATATATGATGTCTCTATGCGCTTTACAGATATATTATTACCCCGGTCATTAGATTCAATACTTGTCCGCACACACTGTGTGCACAATCTCCACTCCCTGGGGAGCATTCCAGCCATGCGTTACTTGACACTTAACACTGTTTGACCAACAATGACGGTCGCATCTTACCGGGTACCCATTAGACACCTGGGTGGACGGTAGCAAGTGCAGGTTAATATGTTGGACATTGGTGCCGTGTCGGGATTCAAACCCTCGAGCTTCACATCTCCAGTCCAGCGCCTTAAATCAATCGACCACGACATTCCTACCTGGATATGGTACCCTTGATTCCATGTATAATAATTTGCATCTGCTCTGTACCTATAGGGATTAAATGAAAATGACCTTGAACTTGAACTGAGTTATGCAATAACTGACGTTTGCGGTAGATTATGTAGATGACGTAGTCGAGTGGTCTAATCACTTGACTGGAAAATGCAACGTTCATGCGCTCAAGCCTCAGCACGGTAGTTATGTCCCTGAGCAAGGCATTTCATCTGCATCGCTCCCTTCCATCCACGTGCTAAATGGTTAGGGTGCGAAGGTCAATGTAAAAAGACGACTATATCTGGAATAGTTTTTAGGGTTTGGATGATGTGCACTGTAATTTGTGAAATAGTAATTGAGTCCAGTGCCTGGGGTAATGATACTGTAGGCGCGTTGGGCGGTTAGGTCTGGGGTTATGGTCTTGGCTACAATTTGGATTCAGGTTAGGTTTAGAACTAAGGTTGGGTTATGGTTAAGGTTGCAGTTGAGGTTTAGGGGCAATTATTATGATTATGAAGATGGTGATTATTATTGTTATTGTTATCATTATTTCCGCTAAAAATCATCATCATTAATAGTTATGAAAATGCAATCCAACCCTTGCAATAATTTGATTCGTAAGAAAGCAGTACAATAACAGAAACATATTGGCAAAAGTTTGAAATAAATTGAACCAATAGTCAGGAAGTTACGAATGTTTAAAATAAGAGATCACTTAATCTATGTCAATCTCAATTTGACATTTTTGGTGGGTCGATTGTGATGTATTAAAGATTTATACTCAACTGCAAAGAGCTTTAAAATTTTGGTAAGTAGATTGTGACGTAGGACGTGGATAAATCTCCTATTTGCCATGAACCAAATATCACTAATTTCTCTTTTGCTCGTAAGTTCCTTCTCTCTTGGGGCACTACTCAAAATATATTATAGCTAGCATATTGTTATAGATCATCTAAAAATAATAGACCCCCGTGAACCATGAATTTTTGAAACTTTTGTTATTCATTTTATATGTACATGTAGGAACAAATTGGAAATTAGTATGGTACTACATTCACATTGACGCTTTAGCCAATTTGAAGTGCCCATACGTATAGTGATTTTAACTTTCAAAATCATAACTTTCTTATATTTAGTCAGATTTAAATAAAACTTTCATCAGTTTGCTTCTCTGATTTTTCTGTTTTTGTTTAGCGTAGTTGTATGGGTTGGATTTCCATTTATATGTTTTTTACCGATTTCTTCATTCAATTACAGATGTTGGAATTTTCATTTTCGTCACCTTCGAGAACATATTCCAGAACGATCTTGCAGACCCATTGTCTACTGCGTTCATCAATTTGGCAAATGCTCTCTGCAACCGTGTAAGTTTTTACTATGGTTTAACCTCACAGTTTCAGTTTAATTTGTTTTTTTATATTTCACATACATTTTACGCTTAACAATAATTTCACAAACATAATGGTCATAGTTATTCCACACGTCAGGCGCAAGCATATCACTTGCCTCTTGTTCGTAATTTGCCCTTACTACTGTGGGGTCCACTGGACCTAGGTTTTGGAATTCCCTTGAACCAAGAATAGCGCAATCAGTCAGTGTTTATGTATTTAAGCGCAAACTGAAGTTACTATATTTGAGTCGATATCGTCTAGATTTATAGTTGTGATCAATATTTAAGAAAATTAATTTCTATACATGTATAGTTTAGCATAATTCTACTCCCATCTCTCACATCTATTCATCTGTCTGTCTTTGTTTTTGTCTGTGTTTCAGTCCTGTTGCTCGTTGTTTTTTCCTGTTTCTCTTGTTTATAGCCATTATTTAGTAGTCAGTAGATTTTATTATACTTATTTATGTTTATATTTTATCAGTTGTTTAGTTAGTTTAGTTTGTCAGTACTTAAATGTATGCATTATTCTTATCTGACGAGTTTTGTTCTTTTAGGACATATTCATAAGCTACTCATGAGGGACCTTAAATCCACAAGCCTTGCTTTCAACCAAGGTCACCTCGTCTTTCTTTTATAACGCCATATTCTGTAAACTTGTTATATTCATGTCATATGTGTAAAGTGTGTTATGAAAGAAAGATAAATAAAACTTGAACTTGAACTTGAACTTGAATAAAAATCAATCTTTATTACAGAGACAAAAAACGAAGCAGAAAGTGAATACCTTATATAAATTAGCTTGAATGTAATGATTAAAAGATTGAACGAAAAAGAATATTAAAATTGAAAAGAAGAGTGAAATATGGAGTGGCCTATGGAGAAAAATATGCCTGTGTGTTATAGTTATTTTCACTATAGGCTTTCCTCCTAAAGGGACGAGCAATAAATGTCAATCACAGCAATATAATTCGTATTAATAAAGGGCATTGTTAAAGTTAATTTTGTTAAAACAATGTCGCAAATTAGATTATTTTAATAAATTTGCATTACCTGTACAAGATATTAGATAGCATCAGAACTTCCCTGATGTATTTGGATTTGATGTGATTTGACTTAATGTTTATCTATGGCCATATTCCTCATCACAATATGTTGGTATAGTCACATCACATTAAACAGGATGAACCACCCTCTCCACCCCTCCCCACCCCTCCAACAAAAGCACATGTGATCTGCAATTTTAACTAAATATTTTCTTTGTTTTTTGTTTTATCCGGTGGGAAAGTTGTTCAAAAAACTATTTAACAATACCAAGATCTTTTATTTTTTAATGTAGTGTTTTCTTTGGCACGATTTGCTAGTTTTCTACCGAGTCATATTTAAAAAAATGAGAAATATGCCTATGACACATTCCCACATAATCAGCCTAATCATGAATAAAGATTATCATAACATGAACAGTAGACAAGACGGGCATTAGACAAACTTGGAACTAGACTTAATTTTTAAATCGCCGCAAAGAGGTCGGGACTACAATATTGACAAGTGCATATCTGGTTATAAAACCAGAAGAACAATAGACCAAATGGGTAGCAGACTAATCGAAGATTTGACTAAATGGAAATTAGACTAAATGATTATTAGCCTAGATTGTCAATAGAAAACATGATAAGTGAACAAAATGATTATTATAGACGAATTGCATGTAGACCAAAATGAAAACTCAGCGCGCCTGAGTTACGTAGCCAGGGTATAGAAACAAAAATGTTCCTTTCTGACAAAGAGAGTAAAAATTGAAACTTGTTGTAAATACATGTATGCAAATATATGAAACTAATACAAACTGGAAAGTTAACTCTCTAACCTAAAACAATTTGTATAGGGTGAGCCAAACTGTAGTGACTAGTGAATAGCTTTGGGTTTTTCTTCTTCTTCTTTTCTCTAAACAGTTGACCGAGTATTTCAGGAACCTGACAAGTGGCGATATCACGTGCGTCGTACTACGGTTTACAAGCGGCAGTATAGTGGCAGATGTTAACCTGACCTTCCCTGCTAACGACGCCTCCCAGGCACAGAACATCATTGATAATGTCGGAAACGTTACCGCGGTGGATATAGGAAACATTATAGTCAACAATGAAATATACATCACAATCGCCGTCAACTCAAATGGTAAAATGTGACGCACGCGGTAAACCGCAGCGTATTTTTTTTTCCTTGTAATGATAATAACGCAAGTGTTTGCTTCACATTTTCGGTATCTGATAACACAGACCTAAATTGATTACGGGTAGGACATACGTTATGCGCAGTTCCCATTCATGTACACGATATTGAGAGATACTGCCACGGTTTACCTCTTCGTACCTGAACGAACCTTTAACGGCCAGGGCATTGTGTCACGAAACCAATACACACGTTACGTTTTAATGGCATCTCGTTGAAGTTGTACTTATAACGTTTCATGAAAAAAAGCTTCAAAGATCTTTGGAAGCGCATAGAGATGTTATTTCATAACGTAGTATGCGCTATACAAGAATTGAACTATTATTAGTAGTAGTAGTAGTATTTTAATTCAAATACTAAGCTTACTTCTTTTTATTTGTACCTGTATAATACTCACGTATATTACAATTATAATACATGTGAAAGGTAAATTAATATTTTGTTCCCATTGTTATCTTTTGGTGATTATAATATACTACTCAGTAATTGATTCATACGACTGCCAATCAATGTGAATGCATCTGAACCATTATTGCTATTATTGAGTATTTAGCGCCATCTGTGCCAGAGAGGCGTAAAGCGAACTGAGTCACTGCCCTCTGGGTTCTTCTCCCACTACAATGAGGTTTCCCCTACTCTTATACGAATAGTGCAATGGGTTCTTTTCGTGTTAAGGTGCCAATTCTCCTGTACACATGCAGGGCTTTCATTTAACATCTTATTCGAGAGACTACAGTGTTTTCCGCATAAGCCTGCGTGTATGAAACAGGGGAGGTGTGCGTTGACGCACAACGCAGGCTTCATTTATCCATCTGAGTTATAGAGTGGACCCCAAAGATCTTTGGTTGGACAGGCATACCGACTGATTCAAAAGAAGAAGAAATAGTTATTATTTTTAGTATAGTTGCTGTTAGTATTTGTCATCATCTGTGCCAGGGACGGAGAAAGCACATTATATAGGAATAGTTGGAGTAGTAATTGGAGCGCCTTGAGCACCAGGCATGGGCGATATGTGCGCTATATGAATATCCAATATTATTATTATTGTAAGCTTATCTGAGCCTCGACCTCTTGGTGTATTCTTTTCATTGTATATCTTCTTTTTTTTCTTTTCATTCAATAGTTGGGCCAACTACCATGCCAACAGAGACAACAACAGGTAGGCACACTAAATATTTCTAGGCCTTCTATTTTCTATTTACTTCTTTCTCTTCTTCTTCATCTTCATCTCCTCCTTTTTATTTATTTTGTTTCCTTTTCTTCTTTTAATTGTTTTTTTCTTCTTTTTCTTCTTCAACTTCTTCTTTTTCTTGTTCTTCTTATATTTCTTCTCACTTTGTTTCTCGTTTTCTGTCCTACCTTTTCATAATAGTAGTAGTAGTTGTATCAGTAGTATTATAGTAGTAGTGGTGGTGGTACTATAGTAGTAGTAATATTAGCATCATCAGGAGCAGTACTAGTCTTAGCAGTATCAGTAGTAGTACTAAAAATAGTAGTGTTAGTAGTAGTAGTAGTAGTAGTAGTAGTAGAAGTAGTAGTAGTAATAGTAGTAGTAACAGTAATACTAGTATAAGTGGTAGCAGTTGTTGCCATGGTAATAGAAGAAGAATAAAAAAAGAAGAGGTAGTAATAGTAATACATGTAGTAGTATATGATGTCGTGGTACAATAAGTGATAATAATCGACTACGGTAGTAGTCTAATAGGAGTAGTAGTATGGTAGAAGAAGTAAAAGTATAGTAATAGCGGTAGTAATAGTAGTAGTTGTAGTAGTAGTAGTAGTAGTAGTAGTAGCACGTGTAGTAGCAATTGTTATTGTTGCCGCAACAAATTCTTCAGATATATGACAATTCTGCTCTTACCAAATGAAATATAGGGAATTCAGTAGCTTATACCAATTATTATATCTTATCATTGATTACCAGGTTTTATGAAACAGGGTCAAGGGCATCCTTTTTATCAAAACTGTCAGAAGTACAAATTCATGGACATCCTTTTGAACCCTGTGTATTTAATAAAATTAACGCATCTTTCAATCGGATGTCGGAGAACTTGTACTTATGAAAGCTTTATGAAATACTGCCCTGTTGACTAAATTTACTGTATTTTTAATTATGCTCGTTTCTTTCCCGAACCCTTGGTTACCAACTATGCAATGCACAATGCCATCGTCCATAGTTGTGATATATCTGACATGCTTCGGGCAAGGTTTTCGGTCACAAAACGGAAATTTCGTTAGAAAAAATATTCATACAATTTACAAAACAGGTCAATTCCTCCCACTGATTGAGGTAAGCATCAATTCTAAAATAAAAATTTACAATTATGTTTCTCAAATAATTTGAAATAAACATTTAAAACAAATTAATTAGGTAATTTGAAACTATCCCATTGTATTTGATTGCTCACTTTGTAAAAGAATCCGCCAAACAAGAGGATTATTTTTCTGAAATTTAACTCACAAATTCAAAAAATTATGATAAGATAATGTTTCAAACTAACAATTTATAAATCCATTCACGTTGCAGAGCCAGGTGGATTGTCGAATGGAGCGATCATCGCGACCGTGCTAGGTGTCATTGCGAGTCTTCTTGTCATCATTGTCTGCACATTTGGTCTCTTGATACAGGTATCGCGGAGAAACGCAGCAAAGCTTGCTCTAGGGTAAGCCAATTACCACTGTGAATCCAGGGGGTGGGGAGTTTGCAGGCATAGCGATACTTTACCACAGTTCTTGGAGCCTTGAGTAGAGCCTTGAGTAGAGCCTAGCTCCGTCAGTCTCCGATTCTATCAAATACGAACCGGAGCAGCTAAAACGTTCAGAGCATATGCTAGTACGTCATACGCCTAGTATGGCAGTGCAGGCACTGCTAGGCAAAGTGACTGACAAGTGATTGTGCCTGCAAACTTTAGGGTGGGCTATGGAAAAATGTATAGAATAATATATTTTTAAGTAGCTTTCTTTAATTTAAAGGTGAAATTCAAAGAAATTCACAGATATGTCAACTAATGTATCACTAGAAACTGGTAAGCTAAAAAATGTAATGGTATGTCAAACCATTCAAAAGGGGATATGACCCGATTCTGATAACTAAAATCTTTTGCTTGTAAATACACAGGATAGGGGTTAATTAACAATCAAAGAAACCAGACTTTCAAATTGAAAACCCCCCGGAATGATATTAAGGACGGCATTTGTTCCCTCTTCAAACGCCGAACATACCGCAGTGTGTGCAACTGAATATACAATGGCGTCTTATTTTGTTTACAAGCGACAGATTCCTTTTTTTTTGTATCGCTGCATTTGTCATCAGAATAAAACAATGCGTGGGGTTTAGAGTGAGGCAATAGATTATACATTTAGCCTGACGGTAGTGAAGTAAGAATAAGAACTCAAGAGAAGATGAATACACGGGCACTGAAAATGTGTGAGATGTCATGGGACATCGTCTGCTTGTGCAAATCATGTCCATACTGTGATCTCACATATCTCAGCAGCGTTCGGAGAGCTCTTCAGGTGCTATGCCAGGGCTGTATTTAAGTGTTTGTAATTTATAATAATCATTACTTCGAATGTTTCCAAGCATTGAATTTTGATAACCTTGTCGAATCAAAGTTTCAACTTTTCAATAATGAGAATAAAGTTAGTTTTTTAAATCAATGAATATCTACTTCAACATTTAACACAAAAATATCAAAAATGGTGTTATCATTATAAATGTCACTCAAAGTATTTGTATTATAATCATTAGTAGTAGTATTATTCATTATTATCATTACTGTTATCATTTTCATCAATTTTACTCTGTATAATTTTCAATATTTGTATTAGTTTTATTATTGTTATTTTTATCATTATTATTGTTTTCATTTATGTAATCATTATTGTTATTCAATATTTTCACAGAGAGGCGTACCAAAGTCCATACAGCAGGCAAACCCCTGCCCCTTCTTTCTACGGTGATGATCCGTGGGAGAATTCGACGAGCTATAATTCTCTCGATCGCCGCGAATATGCAGTTGGCCGAGCGGTAGAAAGACTCGCACACGACCGTGGATACGGACAAGATGTAAGTTATTTGGATAAAACTTTACTAGAAATACTAAAGGTAGAGGAAAATTGCAGTTTTTTATGTTGGATCTTGTGGGTGACCTGGTTAGCACTTTTACGGCAACATTACAGGTCATAAATGACTATTGCCGTAAACGCCGATAACGTTGGGTGACCTTAGTCCTAAAGGGGAACTGCTCTACTTGTAGCTACTTGCGCCCTCTATATAGAAAATAATTCCTAAGCGGGACCCGTTGGTCCAGCCCTGCTTTATCTATTTTATATTTAGTATGGATTTGGAATCTTAACTTTATTTCACATCTTCAAATATTATATACTTTATTATATACCTCACTTAAGAAATCCAGCCATCTGATTGGTCGAAATTGCATTCATAAACTTCAACTATTTCTGTAAAATTCCCAGTAACCATGGTTATTGGGAAAATAGTTCAGTCTCCATGGTTACCCCATAGGTTTACATGTTAAAAAATGGTCTGAGCGATCGAGGATACCGTACGTGTGCGAAGAATTGGTCGGTAATTTCAATACAATTGAATCTCGATCGATCTTACCGACAATTTTATCTTGCATTGTTCACATGAAGACGAAAATAAACTTCCAAAAACACAAAAACAACATCTGCCGATAGATCTTGATCTAAATTCGTGCCAATATGCATTGCAAAAGTAAAAGAAGGGCCTGTTTAATGGAGCAGCCGCGAAGCATCCACCACGCGAAGCCGTTTTCAATTCATTGTAATGTATAAATAAGAAAAAAACTGCTATGTACGGTAACAGAGCGCGATAGCCGAGCGGTTTAAGGCGCTGATTTTAGATACATCACCTGTTTTACGCAAGAGATCGAATCCCATCTTCGACAAAAGTTTTTTTTTTTTTTTTTTTTTTTTTTTTTTTTTTTTTTTTGGCATATAAAAGTATTAATGACTGCTTTAACATTCGAGAAATAGTTGTTTTTATACGCTGTCGGGAAGGTTACAATTGGGCTATTGCCCTCGGCACGCCTCGGGTAATAGCACAGTTCTAACCTTCCCTTGAGCGTATATAAACAACTATTTCTCTCAAAACAGTCATTAATACTATACTATAAAAAAAGGTATAATAAATCTAACGTCATATACCTGTATAAAAATTGATATTAAAAGCAATCAATTCAAATCTGAATTTAAATACTTAGATTAATATGAAGGCTAGAAAACTAAATGTTTTGAGGAAAATATGGTAATATATCGTTTATAGTTAAGGCGTAGTATGGCATAAGAAAATATAGGCAAAATTTGGTAATTTTTTTTGTGATTGGTGTGTTAAAAGTTTTCATGTGATTTCCTTTTTTTCAGTACGATCAATTCGAGATACCATACGTCGTTGGAGGAGATGAAGTTGTGAGTATCTTAGAAACACCATTAACTTGTAAAATGTATATAATCTTTTAGAGGCTAATTGTGTGTAAACTTGTAACACGATCGAAAATACTTTTTTGTAAAATCATCCTACTCAATAGCCTTGTTTAGCATCTAGTGACGGGGCCCGCCCCCCCCCCCCCCCCCCCCTCCGAGAACGGACGGACCCCATGCGTGTTACCAAAATGTCCTTTGGTAACAAAATAAAAAGGTCGACCCTTATTGACTTTACACACCAGACTTTTGCTGAAAGGGGGGGGGGGGTGATGAAAAGGCTCGTATAACAAAAGCGTACCCTAAATAATACTGAGTGGGGAGTGGGGGGCCGGGTGACGGGGAAGTCCACCCTGATATTAAGTGGGTTATACTAGAAGCAGAAAAGAGGTCAATAAAAGTTTGAGCAAATTCCCATTAAAAGTATTAGAAAGTTAAAGTATTTTTGAAATTTCGATCAATCAAACAAAAATTGAATTAAATACACATGTTACATGTAGGTTACATGTTTCTTAAAATGTAAACAGAACTTAATATAAATGGCAACTTCCAACTAACCTATTAAATGGCTGTGTTGGGGTCTGAATTCAAAATGGAGGAAATTCCCATGTGCACAGTAATTTATGGCGTAGAAGTAGTTCATGACATGAAACTGAAAAACTGAAATATGCTTAAACTATTTTTGTCTTTCTCCTTCTTGTTCTCTTTATCTTTTTCTTTTTACTTTCTTTTCTTCTTCTTCTCGTTATCTTCTTCTTTCACTCCTTCTTCATCTTTTTCCTCTTCTCCTAGTTATCTTCTTCTTCTTTCACTCCTTCTTCATCTTCTTCCTCTTCATCTCCTCGTTATCTTCTTCTTCTTTCACTCCTTCTTCATCTTCTTCCTCTTCTTTTCCTCCTCGTTATCTTCTTCTTCTTACACTCATTCTTCATCTTCTTCCTCTTCTTCTCCTTCTTAACTTATCTCTTCTCCTTCTTGTCTTTAAATTCAACAGCGTGGTGTTGAACGGAACCCCTTTGCCTTCTACTATTGAAGAAATGTTTCAGACGATGGATTAGGAAATCAATGATTATTATTTTTTAAGAAGGCTCTGGGAAAGATAAAGAATTTTTTTATGAGCTGTATGTAGGAATATTCTATGGAAAAATACCTCTTAAAACAAATTCCACTTCAAATGCTTATATATTCAACATTATTTCGACAACAAATTGCTAAAGTTTTTGGACTCTCAGTAATACCGAGGCGATTTTTTTAATCATTTTTATGATTCTAAAACCTAACAGAAAACACCAATTGTTATATGCTTACCCCGTAATTGTTTTCTTCTAATTACTATCAAACACTTCTTTTTTACAATGAAGTCACATGAGCAGAAACGAGCTTATCTTTAAGTAGCGTAATTTTGTTACTTGGATTGCTCATTTTGCATTTGCCCTTTTTTTCTTAATCTGATCAACAAATCACCTTCCACTGAATGATTTATTGATTCATTATTTTCATTTATAGATGTTGCTTTAATTATATATAAGGCAATTAATACTTGCTTTTGGGAGAGACAGGGTTTCGTCTGTTTTTTAGCTAACAAATTTATAATCGGATGAAAACCATGACGATGTCTAGTTATGTTATATATATAATCTGGCAGTACATGTATAATTTTAATGTACCGGGATTACAGGTGTATAAGGCAATTAATACTTGCTTTTGGGAGAGACAGGGTTTCGTCTGTTTTTTAGCTAACAAAATTTATAATCGGATGAAAATCATGACGATGTCTAGTTATGTTATATATATAATCTGGCAGTACATGTATAATTTTAATATACCGGGCTTACAGGTGTATTAGTAATTCAAATGCAGCTGTGTTTTTTTTTAATCACTTTAACAAAAACAAGTAGATACCCAGTACTCCACAAAAGAATGAAGTTAAGGACTATGAAGATAACATATTTAGGACAATTTTAGAAAATGCCTTCGCACAAACCTCACACGAACATAAGTCGTTGTTGTTTATATTTATCTTGAAGTAGCGCCATTTTGTTATTTGTATCACTCATTTTGCGATCATTCATATCATAAATATATATTACTATAATTATATGCAAGGCAATGGATACTTGCCCAGTGGGAAAGACAGGGTTTCGTCTGTTTTTTAGATAACAGTTAGAGTGTATATATAATCTGGTAGTTCATGTGTATGGCCTAGAAAGAAAAAAAGATGTTGTATTGCCATTTAGGTGCCAGAACCTTGGTCAGTCGGTCGGATTTTTGTTTTCCCCTCAAAACAGCACCGTCACCCCAAAAAATAGAAACCGAGAACGTCGCCCAAATCTCGCTGGTGTCTAGCTGGTGCAGTGCATGGTATATACACGTACACGAGATTTCAAACTAGGGCCGCAGAAGACGTGTGAGAATTTGGGGAAAATTTGATGATTTTATTCATTTATAATTATATCCCAATTTGAGCACCAAAAAAAAAAAAGTTTTTTAATTCAATAAACATTTATTTTCTAAAATATGGTTTTAGACAAAATATTAAAAAGCCGACCGTACATTTTGTTTTAGATGTTTGGGTCGGTCACGAAGGGCAAAACAACATCTGATTTTTACGCCTTATGTTAATGTAGCAGGCTTACAGGTTTATTAATAATGTAGGTGCTGGTATTTTGAAATCACTTTAAAATGGTGAGTATTTTACGGACGAATGGTTCAGGAGTATTAAGATAACATACATAGGACAACTTTAGAAAATGATTTTGCACAAAACCTATAAGGTATATAAGTCGTTGTTGTTGTTATTATTTTATTTATGGTTTGCAACTAGTCTTCATTAATTATATTTGCAAAAAACATTCTTTTTTTAATTTAGGTTGATGTTATGTTTTTATTTAACTGCTAAGAAAGCGTGTGTATGCTTGTAAGTAAGCAACAGGCTTTTAAGAGAAGTTTAAGTTCTGGGGAGAGGTGAAAACTTAAAAAATGTATAGACTTCGACTTTTACTTCGTATTATCTCTACACTGTTGTCGGAATATTATTTGTACTTCTTTTCTTAAAGGTATCCGATAACTTTGTCTTAGATCCTTTTAACAAATCCTTGATATAGCTCATGCTGCAATGATAATTATAAACCTTTAGGTCAGTCAGGAACCCCCTGACTTTTGCAAGCCGATCGCCTGTCTGATTATCAAGATATTTATGATTGAAAATCGAAATCACATTTTGCGTTTGCCAAACGGTATAACACTACAGTCTATTAGGGAAAACGAGTAAAGTAAAACCGATCACTCAAAGTTTTGATTTACTTTTTTGAGGCACTTCCCGGCAGTGATTGAATTTTTATAGCGCTTAGAGACTTCGGTGGTAAGCGCTTTATAAGTAACGTTTTTATTATTATTATTATTATTATTACTTCGTGACAAGTTTGAAGCACTTCTTGATAAGTTTGAAGCACATTTTGTTTAGGGTTAATATAACACCATTCGCAGACACTGATAACTCGTAGGGCCGTGCATCTCAGATTTAACATTGTTAAACGATCCCTTTAACATGATTGTAACAATATTATTCATTCTTGATAGATAAAGGTATATCTCCTCATGACCTAATAGCACTATACATGACTCTTTAGATCGATCAGTTAAATAGTATAATTCATCCGAAGATCCTCGCGTGAAAGCTAGGTGGGAATTTTTCATGGTAAAGTGGATCATTCACCTGATTCTCAATCCAAGGGTTGAGGGTTCGAATCCCAGTCCAGCGATTATGCTATTTAGCAAGACATATAATCCCACATTGCTTCAGTCCACCAAGATGTAAATGGGTATCTGGCAATTGATGGGGTTATGCTAATAACAGGGCCTTCAGGAACAACGTCACCAAAGTTGAGTAGAAGCAGTTTTAGTAGTAATAGTAGCATCTTCATCATCAATATTGTTATTACTATTATTAATCGTACTATAATTACTATTATTGCTATTTTTACTAAGAAATATTGTTAGGCTTCTCTCTTTTTAATCTAGGATCATGTTTGTTCAAATAAAAGTTTAAATTCCAATTTGCTTAAAGGGATAGTTGAGTTCTGTTGCAGAGGGCGCCACACAAAATAATTATGTGTGAGATAATGAAAAACTGAGTGTCCAATTTGAGAGAACATACAATTTAAATGACAAAATCATCTTTGTTTGATCAAAATCGGTTCAGAGACGGCTGAAATATCCATAAATCATAACGATTTCTTATACTTGGTTACCACCACAAATATTCGATAATTTAAAAAAGCCGTTGAAAAAAAACGAAATAGCGCCTTTTTCGTCGTATATCAGCCAATGCCGATGTTTGCTTTTTTTGTTGTTGGCTTTTTTTGTGTTGGTTATATTACGCACAACCAGCCGGCCCATGTATAGTTATTTTTAATTAATAAATGAATTAACGGTCACCGTATTTTTTTAAAAGTAGAGCTGAAGGGGTATGATCGTATTGGCTAAATTTCACACATTTTGGGGTCTAACATTACCTTCATAACAATTTAAGGTCTTAAAGGGGCACTAGAAATGCCATATATAAGAATAAGAGCAATAACCATGCACTTTGAAGGCATTTGCGGTCTGAAAACCGAACTTAACTATTCCTTTATGCTGTTGGAATCACATGAATTGCTCAATTTAACTTGGCATTCCTATACATGTTGTCAACATTTTCTGCTTTAACTTAGACAGTAAACGTATTATTCTTATCATGGTACCAGTGTCTTCCATCATGTATAATCTTTAAAGGTTGACACGTAATAAAGGGTTATATTTTGCATACTACTTAAAAGATTGTAACTTGTAGTTTATGCTCCGATCGTGAGTGTTGTACTGTGGAATAGTGATCATGGTTATACATACATTAGGGACTTTTAGATTCGCACGAAGACAATGTAGATTGCTACGATCGACGTCCTTTTAATGCACTGCCTTGGATGGACGTCACACGTATCAGTCCACGCAAATTTAAAAGTCCCTATAAATTATGTATGCACGACGCTTTTAATTGACTTTAGTCCATGATAAGACTTTTATAATAAATATATAATAACAGCGGTATTAAATCACTGATATTTCTTCACAATTTTTTTATTTTTTACAAAAAATAGATCTGGAGCAGACTTATCCGGTCGAAATGCACCATTAAGCATCAGAATGAGCTTTTGAGTGAATGTGTGTGTTGGGATGTGTGTGTAATTATACAACTTCTAATGATTTACATAATGCTCATTTATTGGTGGTACTAAATCGGTCTTTATTTTTCTCAAAACTCAACACTCTCCCATTGATATATATACAGTGCGCCCCAGAAAAAAAACGAAACCGAGAATTGTTGCATCTGCTCTAGTGTAAGAGCAACAAGAGCACTACGTCATCTGCGAAGAAGAGTTTTCTCACGAGATTTGTGTAGACTTAGATTCGAAGTGTTTACTGTATATGTATATACTACGTATTTAAGTACGCACTTGTGTATGTGTATATGTATATTAAAACCGGCTCACACTATGACAAATAGGGTGTACCGCAAGCTACGTTAAGCTGCCAATAGCAATATTGAATTTCCCGTCAATCATCGTTTGTTGCCTTCAATTGTCGCTGTTGTCAACGACCATTGACGGCAAAACAACGGCAAGTGACGTCACATCTCGAACCCTGACGACACATCGCGCGGCAAGTAACGAAATTGTAACGATCTTAGTGCGGCGATGGATTGCATATTTTGGCCGTAGGGTGACGGTTGATGACTGTTGATGGCGAGCCGTTTGCGAGTTCCTGCGGCATTGCAACGATGATCTGCGATGGGTTACGATTTTGTGACGAAAGTCCAGGATTTTAAAATTTTAGTGCGATATATTTCACGTTTTGTGACTTCAGTGACCCGCACATTGATGTCGGCCGCTGAATCACGTCATCGTCGCCGAAACCCAACGTCAGCCGCCGTTCCTTGCCGCCGGCCAATCCGCTGCCAGTCGTCTGACCTCGTTCCTTGTTGCTGGGCTCCGTCGAGACATCGTCACTCGCCGCCCAGACAACGTCCGATTTTGGTCGTCAGACGTTCCCTCCTGTATCCATTCGTCCCTTGTCGTCGTGTTGTCGCTGAAGGTCGTTCCCACCCGTCAGCGAATCTTGGTTTTCCCCATTTTGCCGTCGCTTTACCGCCAAACTGTAGTGATTGTCACGTCCTTCGACTTTCGCGGGATCTTTGTCGCTACTATGTGAGCCGGCCTCGGTAATTGTACCAATGGCTGTGTGTGTTATTTATTTAAACGGTCTAATTTAAAATGTTTTTGCTTGCGAATAGGATCGAGTAGGTTTAGTCCGAGGTCAATTATTATAGTTCTTTTACAATGTTTCTTATTTCAAGATGACATATTAAAAGTAATCCATATATTTAGTAGCCATTTTGTTGCCATTAACCGAACGTTAGGTTCAAAATGTAATCGAAAAAATGATAACAGAAAAGTGGAAAGGTAAAGTAGATTGCAGCATTTCATTTGAACAACCTTTTTGTTGATATTTACAACTGTGAATGTTAAGCCCCCCCCCCCCCCACCCCCACTTTTTTTCTCTCTCTCTCTCTCTCTTCTGCCCCCATATATCTCTCTCTTTCTCTCTTCTTCTCTCTCTCTCTCTCACACTCTCTCGCCATTGAAATTCGAATAATTTATTTTAATAGGTAGATTTAATTTCTATCATGGAGCACTATTTTACGAACTTCATGTCGTCGACGACCGAAAGTAATTTCTATGTCACTCTTTACAGTTAGCTAACAAGAAATCTAGCTACCCAAAATAAATCTTTATAAAAACACACTCTCGTAATGTACAACTCAGTCTTATTTTTGTTCTTATCATTTTAAATGCTTCGACAAATATATTTATGCTGATGAGTGACATTCTCTCAACATCTCAACGTTCCAATATACTGGGAAAAGATGTTACTTATAATTAAAATGAAACACATATATCACGTATAGAGATTGCCTCATAGGAGAAACAAAAGCCAATTTCCTCGATCATTAATTTCACTGCTGATGTTTTGAAGACGGATGAACATTTCCACCACGTTTCATGTCAGTATTAGAATTAGTTTCTCTTCCATCTCTCCGTAAACTACACTCCAGTTTCCTCTGTTACTATCAAGAATAATTCCAAGTTCGTCAACACACCCACGGACACTCTTACGCAGAAATATATGGTTGAACGAGAGCCTTAGTATAAAATATAATACATTTTCATTATAAACAGATTCGTTTCATGTCAGTATTAGAATTAGTTTCTCTTCCATCTCTCCATAAATTCACTCCACTTTCCTCTGGTACTACCAAGAGTAATCCCGAGCTCGTCAATACACCCATGGACACTCTGTCGCAGGAATATATGGTTGAACGAGAGCCTATGTATGAAATATAATACATTTTCATTATAATGAAATTCACATGAAGAAATGGATATATTGTAACATTCAAATGTGATAGTATGATAACTAAATCTTAATTGTAACAATCTACAAGCACTGGGCAACGTCCGGTAATGAGGGCATTCTGTTAGCATGACATACTACATAATCCACATGTTAAAAAAATATCTCATGGCACAAGCCTTGAAAACAACATATATAGAAGATAATTGTTTTCCCAACTGCTAAGAAAGCATGTATATGATTGCAAATATGCAACCAGTGGACCGACGGCAATAGGGACTTTTAGATTTGCGTGGACTGATACGTGTGACGTCCATTCAAGGCAGTGCATTAAAAGGACGTCGATCGTAGCGATCCCCATTGTCTTCGTGCGAATCTAAAAGTCCCTATTAACTCCTCTCCGATGGACTTGGTATTGAGGATGAATGCCTTATCAAAGGGCACTAGTACATTGACATGGTTTTAAACCCGCGAGCTCCCGGTAACAATACCACTGCTCTGACAATGATCCACACATATTGTTCACTTCATGCTTTGTGCACTTGTAAGCATTTATCAGGACGCCAATGATTGAATTCTTGATATCAAGAAATAGGAATAAATGTTAAACGGCTTTTCATAGACACGCACGATCAGTGGATGTTTACGCCGTTCTCGCCCACTCAATC